TGTACTAAACAGGTTTTTTGAAAGTGTGTGTGAAGGTATCACTGCGCCTCATTTTGAATGGTACTTTCTGCTTCATTTTCAACACCAGTAGGATATGGTGCTCTTCCTAAAAGAAACTGTTCCCATTTGAGAATACATTCTTTTGATGCCCAGTGAAGAATCTCAAGAGAAACTACCTCTGGTGGTGGAATTGGGTAAATCTGTGTCTGTAAATACTTCTCTGTTCCTTCTATATCCTTTAAAAGACTAAGGTTCCTTTTAAAAGCAGTCTCAGCTGTTTGCATCTGAGAAGCCTTTTCCTTGTTTTCATCTACAAATTAATTCTCCATTTGTCGAAGTAACAATCTTTGTGATACAGTTTCTTCATATCTTTTTGAAAGGTGAATTTCTTGAACAAACCAGGATATCATCTTTAGTCAAAGCTTACTTATAAGTAAGCTTTCTTGACTCAAGAGCCTGGACCAATATCTGATCAAGTGAAGTGTGGTGCACCTGGCTGGCTCAGTCAGTGGAGCTTGCGGCTTTTGATCTCAGGTTTGTGGGTTTGAGCCCCACGTTGGGTGTAGAGATTACTTAAAAAGGAAATCTTAAAAGAAAATCAAGTGAAGTGCTTTGAAGGCTCAGAGCCTGAAGGCAAATCATCTGGTTGGGTGCAAAAGCCAAAGGTGACTGTCCGAGCCCCACTCGGACCGCTTCTGTAAAGGTACCCACTACTGTGTGGATGCTGGGTCCCAGCACCTATTTTTTAACTTTTAAATTGTGTTTTATTGAAGTATAGTTGACACACAATGTTACATTAGTTTCAGTGTACATCACAGTGGTTCAACAAATCTCTGTGTTAAGCTACGCTCAGCACAATTGTAGCTACCACCTGTTACTGCGCTATATTACAGTACCATTGACTATACCCCTGTGCCGCACCTTTTACCCTGTGGCTTATTCATTCCCTCCCACTCCCGCTTCCCCGTTTGGTCCATGCCCTCATCCTCTTCCCTCTGTCGGCCTTCAGTTTGTTTTCTGTACTTATGGATCTGTTTCTGCCGTTTGTTTTGTTTTTTAAATTCCACATATAAGTGAAATCATATAGTATTTGTCTTTCTCTATCTGCCTTATTTCACTTAACATAATACCATGTAGGTCCATCCATGTTGTCACAAATAACAGGCTCTTGTTCTTTTTTATGGCTAAGTAATATTCCATTTGTGTGTGTGTGTGTGTGTGTGTGTGTATCTCACCTCTTCTTTTTTTTTTTTTTTTTAGATTTTATTTATTTATTCTTGAAAGACAGAAGAGAGGGAACACAAGCAGGGGGAGCGGGAGAGGGAGAAGCAGGCTTCCCGCGGAGCAGGGAGCCCGATGCGGGACTTGATCTGAGGACCCTGGGACCGTGACCTGAGCCGAAGGCAGACACTTAACGACTGAGCCACCCAGGCACCCCTGTATATCTCACCTCTTCTTTATCCATTCATGTATCAATGGACACTTGGACTGCTTCCATGTCTTGGCTCTTATAAATAATGCTGCAGTAAACATCGGGGTGCATATATCTTTTCGAATTAGTGTTTTCATTTTCTTTGGGTAAATACCCAGTAGTGGAATTGCTGGATCATATGGTAGTTCCGTTTTTCATTTTTTGAGGAACTGCCATAGTACTTTCCACAGCAGCTGTACCAATTCACATTCCCACCAACAGTGCACAAGGGTTCCTTTTTCTCTACCTCCTCACTAACGCTTGTTATTTTTTGTCTTTTTGATTTTAGCCATTCTGACAGGTCTAAGATGATATCTCACTGTGGTTTGGATTTGCATCTCCCTGATAATTAGTGATGTGGAGCATCTTATTATATGTCTTTTGGCCATCTGTATGTCTTTGGAAAAGTGTCTGTCCAGGTCCTCAGCTCATTTTTAGTCAGATTATTTGGGTTTTTTGGTGTTAAGTGGTGTAAATTCTTTCATGTATTTTGGATATTAACCCCTTATCAGATATATCATTTGCAAATATCTTCTTCCATTCAGTATGTTGCCTTTCGTTTTGTTGATGATTTCCTTTGCTGTGCAGAAGCTTAGGAAAGCTTTTTTAAAGAGAGTATTTAATATTTACAACTCATTCTAGTCTGACTTCCCCTTATGTATTAGTCAGGACCTCCAGAGAAGGAGGACCACCATCTGTTTCTCTCTCTTTGTGCATATGTATATATTTAGGTATCTGTCTATACATATAGAAGGGGGGGGCGCCTGAGTGGCTCAGTCGTTAAGCGTCTACCTTCGGCTCAGGTCGTCCTGGGATCGAGCCCCACATCGCGTTCCCTGCTCAGCGGGAGGCCTGCTTCTCCCTCTCCCTCTGCCTGCCTGTCTGCCGACTTGTGATCTCTCCCTCTCTGTCAAATAAATAAATAAAATCTTTAAAAAAAAAAAGAGAGAGAGAGGGACTTAAGAATTGGCTCATGCAATTATTGGGGCTGGCAAGTCTGAAATCTGTAGGCCAGCCAGCAGGCTGGAAGCTCAGCAGAATTTCTATGTTAGAGACTTGAGGCAGAATTTCTTTTCCAGGGAAACTTGTTTTTAACCCTTAATGTCTTCAACTGATTGGATGAAGCCCACCCGTATTATCAAGGGTAATCTCCTTTACCTAAAGTCAACTGATTGTAAATGTTAATCACATCTACAAAATATCTTCAAAGCAACATCTAGACTACTGTTTGACAAAAAAACTGCAATCATAGCCTATCCAGTTTGACACATAAAATTAACCATTACAGCCTTTATCACTCTACCACATCTCCTTCATTGCTAAATCCAGTGGACACTTTTCACATCTTTTCTTGCTTGATCAATTTGCAACATTTGACATTTTGGACCCCCACTACTTCTTGAAACCCTTCTCCCTTAGTGTCAGTAACCCTAGTCTCTCCATTCTCCTGTCCTGGTTTTTCCTTTTCTGATATTTCAAAGACTCATCTTCTCCCAATTATTTGTTGATAATCTCTCCTGTCCTTGGCCCTCTTATTACTCCCATGATTGATATTTCCCAAAACTAAAATTCTATTTTAGAATTCTCTGCTGAGCATCAGATTTCTGTATCCAATTACCTGTTAGTACATCTCTACCTGGATATTGCATAGGCATCCCAAACTTGGCTTGTCTAAAACTGAAATCTTACTCTTCCCTCCTTAAACTTGCTTTTGCATCTCTGCTCTTCTCTTAGTTGTGGTACCATCTCTACCTAATTACCCAAGCCAGGAATCTGAGAGGCATCCTCTGACTTCTCCCTTATATTTTCCATTTAAAACTTTCTCATCTCTATCCTTATCTCAATGACGAGAGCTTCACCCTCATTTTCTGTCATCTGGGATCGTGTTGTGGTCTTTCTGCCTCCTGTCAATCTCTTTCCGATCCATCTACACTTCTGCCACAGTGATATTTTAAAAAATGCATTTAAAAATTCGCTTAGTAGCTCCTAATTGCCCACAGAATTAAGATAGAATTCTTCAGCAAGCATACAAGGCCCTCCATGACTAGCCTTTCCTACTCTTTATCTCCCACTGTTCCTTGCTCACCCATCCCACTCTCAAGTCATACTGAAGTATTTGTAGAATGCAGACTTGCCACGTTGCTTGCTTCCATGGGCTGTGCAGCTTCTGCTTCTGCCTGTCATATCCACTGCCTCTGTCACTTCCCTGCCTCCCTGCCCCTACCTTGTGGATCTAGAAAAATTATTTCAGTACCTACTTTGATCTTCTCCATCGAATAACCTTCCTGATTCCACAAGTAGATTTGACCATGCCTCCTTTCTGACATCATTATACGTTGTTTGCAGCCCTACTATAACTCTTACTACTGTATTATTTATTTTTTGTTTAAGTGTCGCCTTTCAGTGGACTGTCAACTCTTAAGTGTTTCCACTGCTTGGCATATAAGAGGCTCTTATCAGATGCCTGGTGATGGTGGAGATGATGGGCCTGGAGTGGAGCACATAGTTCATTTAAATAAATGTGGAGGAGTGCTGGGCTCGGACACATACAGAGGAAAGTGGTAGCCATTTCTTTATCCTCTTCTGTCCCTTCTAGAGGCGGCGGCTGCAGTTTTACTACCAGATTCCTTTTGATTTATACTTTCTATAATCTGATACCTATTCTTAGCTTTTATTTTGCTTTCATCCTTGGAGCAGTTGAAGAGACAGGAAGCTGTTAAATTACTATTACAAAGTCCCACTGTCCCATTTCATTCCATCACAGGAGGAACCATACATCAGCTTGTTCTCACGTGATTCTTGTGTGCCAAAAGAAGTCTTTTCTCAGCCAGTAAAAAGAATTCATGTAATAATATTAGTATTTTTTCAAGTTTTTTAATCCTCCTATGTGTCCCCAAAATGTCTCCATACATTTAATATCAAATTAAAAACTAAAGCAGTTCTGTGTTAATCGTGAGGGAAGAAATAATGGTCTTTAAAGATGGTTAAAGGAATAATGAAGACTTCTTGGGTGTTTAACATGAAAATTTCAGATGACCAAGGGTTCTGCTGTACACATTGGAGTCAAAGGATAGGTCAGCATCTCAATTTAGACCTATGTATTACTTTTTACTGTAAATACATTTGTAGAAGCTACTTGTGGTGTAACTCCTTATGTACTTAATATTTACCTGACTCTTGGTTTTCTTGGTTGATTTTTTAAAGGGCTGAAGAATCTACTTACGAATTCTTTGCCCTTTATGGAATGTGATACCTTGGTTTTGAGTCCACCTCTCCCTTTCCCTTTACTTAATTTTATCTTATTGTTTTGCATTGTGTTTCTAAAATAATGGCTTTGGCTTGTTTTTTCCTGAATGTTTCTGCAGTTTGATTTGAGTATCTGGCTTTGGGTACCCCTCCTGAACTTGGACTCCATCTGTACTTGTGACTTTTGGAAGGCAGAACTCAGTGTTTCCTATGGAAGATGACCTTTTTTTAAATATTATATGTTTGTGTCTCCCCCCCTTCCTTTTTGCTTTCTCTTTAAAAGACTGGAAAGAAAGCAGTTAAAGCAGTCCTGTGGGTATCAGCAGATGGACTCAGAGTTGTGGATGAGAAAACTAAGGTAAAAATTTTATAAGCTTAAATGTTACTGCTTATGTTTTTTTTTAATCCCTAATGATCAAATGTAATGCCGTTAAGCTGCTGTAGTCATTCTGTATCCTTCCACTTTGTCCAAAGTACAGTCTTCTGAGATACGAGTGTTCAGAAAACAAATTTAGTTATTCATTTACCTTATGAAAAATAGAATTCCCACAACATTTTGCTGTACATAACAGCATGTTTAGTGTAGTAAGCGTTTGCATTTAATGTTAAAATTTTGTTCTTTCACATTTTAAGAAAATGTTTACCCCCACAAATTTGATGTAAAACATGATGGACCTTTTACCAAAGTTTAAAAAAAAAAAGATCACATCTGAAATTTCTTCTTGTTCCTTAATAAAGGGAACTATATTCTTAGAAAGTGATATTTGGAATGAGTAACCTGCTCTTTAACTGAAAACCCAAATTAAGCAAAATCTTAAGGACTAATAAATAGCTCATTTGGTTAACATTTACTTAGAATCTACACAATATCTAACATCATAGATGGCATTTTGCATTGGAAAGAAAGTGATCCTACATGCCTAAAGAACAGAGACATAGACTCTGACCTTAGAGAGCATTAAGTGTTATATAGGCACATTTAATCATTAATTAAAATTTCCTAAGAGACCTAAAGTCTGGAGGAATTTTAACAAGAAGGCAATTTTTCAAAATAAATCATATGTCACTGAAAGGGGGAGACAGTCTGGCGGGTAAAGAGCAGTTTTGATGGATAACTTACACATTTTAAGTACAACTATTACTATATTTGCATTGGTTCTTTTGACCTTTCATCTGAGGCCCCCCCCTTTTTTTTAAGTTCAGGAGAACTGGTAGTCTTAAATGTACATTATTATTATTATTGGAAACAGTGATCATTTTAATTAGCTTATTGTTAAGAACTTGTATAGTTTTCTTTAGTGTTTTGGATGAAATGTGTTGTACAAGGAGGCGGTTTTTGTTTTATACCAGTTCCTACGTGGTATCGCCCCCTGGTGGCTACTTATAGTACTGGCATTCATTAGTTTGGTTCTTTCCACTTTAGTAATAAGAATAATTGGTGGCTTTTCACCCTTGGACCCATCATGAATGGAAAAGAAATTTTGCAAGGTATATAACCTATAAAGGGCTCATATTTAGAATATATTAAGGAACTCCTACATGTCAATAAGAAAATGGCACACAATCCAAAAGACTTGAAGAATCGTATTGCTAAAGAGAAATTCATAGTAATTAAGGTTATGAAAAATAAAATCATAATGAGCCACCAGAATTGCAGAATTTTTAAAAATTGGCTGGCAGGTTTGTGGAGCAACAGAAATTCTCATAGTGATGCTTTATAAAAGCCATTTTTTTGATCATTTGTTTTAGCACTTATAGCCCCATGTCAGCATCTAGGGATTCTGGGCTGTGGGAATATAACATAGAAGAGCCTCAAGATTTTAAAAAACATTTTGTGTAATGTTTATACTGTGTAGCTACAATGCCATTAAGCGAGTATTTAAAGAAAGTCATACTCGAAATGATCACTAAATTAATATAAATTATATGGGAATTGGATGAAATATATTGATTTATATATATTGTCAAATTGAACATGAAGTGTACTATGATAAAACTAAAATCAGCAAGCATATGTTTTAGAACATGAAGATGAAGTGAGAGAGGCATCTGGGCAAAGTGCCTCTTGGGATCTCTTCTACATCAGATTCTTAGTATTCAGACTGCTGGCCTCAGATCTTGCTATTTCATAGTCTCGATGCATTAGTTTTAGAGACTCTGTATTGTGAAATGAACATCCTGTGTTTATTCTGAGAAGCTTGAATAACCTGGTAAATCCTCTATTTCTTTGTGCTTCCCTTTTTCTAGGACCTCATAGTTGACCAGACAATAGAAAAAGTTTCTTTCTGTGCCCCAGATAGGAACTTTGATAGAGCCTTCTCTTACATATGCCGGGATGGCACTACTCGGCGCTGGATCTGTCATTGCTTTATGGCTGTCAAGGACACGGTGAGTCCAGCAGTGTAGATTTCATCATGACTAGCCTCAGCTAGCCAAACTCACCCTGGGTTGGCTCAGCCAAGCAGTTTCCACTACATTTTTGTATAAGCACCTGCTCTTACAGCACTTGGAAGTGCTTAAACTAGCCTGCTTTCATTCCTTTTATTCAGGTAGTTCACACTCTTGGTGTGACCCTGCAGCTCAGAGAGCAAGATGATTAGCTGAGATCCAAGGTCATTAAAGGAAAGTAAAAGTGCCCTGGTGATGGTGGCTGCTAAACTTTACTTGAAACTTTTCATTATTAGAACCGGGGTGACAGGTATTAAGGAGGACAACATGTTGTGATGAGCACTGGGTGTTATACGCAACTAATGAATCGTTGAACACTACATCAAAAACTAATGATCTACTATATGCTGGCTAACTGAACATAATAGAAAAAAACTATTTTCAAGATTCTTACATATATTTGTTTGCGAATACATCTAGGTAGAGGATATTGGCATTGGGGTGCCTAGGTAGCTCAGTCGGTTGGGCATCTGCCTTTGGCTCAGCTCATGATCCCAGAATCCCAGGATTGAGCCCTACTTCGGGCTCTCTGCTCAGCAGGAAGCCTGCTTCTCCCTCTGCCCCTCACCCCACTCATGTTCTGTCTCTCTCTCTCGAAAAGAAAATTTTTTTAATCTAAAAAAAAAAGACATTGGTACTAAAAGGTGTTAATTTATTTGCAAAGGAATTCTACTACAAATGAAAGAACTGAGTTGGGGTATATATTTTTTCAATTAATTAAAAAATAGAAATACTGAGGTGCCTGGCTGGCTCAGTCTGTGGCACATGGGACTTTTGATCTCGGGGTCATGAGTTCAAGCCCCATGTTGGGGGTAGAGATTACTTAAAAAAAAAAAAAGTACTAAATTATGGTACAATGAATTTTGCCAGAAATTGTTGCAAAATAGAAAATTTTGGTTTTGTTTAAAAGTAGGGAAAAATTAGGGGTGCCTAGGTGGCTCAGTTGGTTAAGCAGCTGCCTTCGGCTCAGGTCATGATAGGCCCCGCTTCGGGCTCCCTGCTCAGCGGGGAGTCTGCTTCTTTCCCTCTCCCTCTGTCCCCCACCCCATGCTTGCTCGCTCGCTCTCTCAAATAAATAAAGTCTTTGAAGAAAAAAAAAAATAATTAACCTATCGTCTTTCATGTAAAAATTACCCAGAATTCTGACATAAAAGACAAATCTCTCAGATGATGATGATCTTAACTATAGTAGAGCATTGAGTGTATAATTGTAATTATTGAGTTTTTTAAGTCCAGACAGAATAAGGCAGTATAGCCATTCCTGAAGGCTACAACTCAGTAAACTCTTGCCAAGGTTTATCTGAAAGGGAAGTGATGGCCATACTCTAAAATTCACCAAAATGTTTTCCAAAGCTCTTGGAGAGGGGCACGTGGGTGGCTCAGTTGGTTAAGCATCTAACTTCAGCTCAGGTCATGATCTCAGGGTCTTGGGATGGAGCCCTGCATCAGGCTCCCTGCTCAGTGAGGAGTCTGCTACTCCCTCTCTCTTTGCCGCCCCCCCCCGCCATGATCATACGGCTCTCTCTCCCTCTCAAATAAATAAATAAAATCTTTAAAAAAAAAAAAAACTCTTGGAGACAGTGGTATAAACTGTTAAGAGTCTAGGCTCTGACTCAGATCTGGGTTTCAGGTCTGATTCTGGTTAGTAACTGTGGGTTTTGGGGCAAGTTACTTAACATTCTTTAAGTCTTACTTTCCACTTCTATAAAATAGAGATAAAGTTGTGAGGACTAAATTAGATAATTAATAAAAGCACTCTTAGTATGGGGTCTGGCACATGGTCACTGCCCTAAAAATGGTGGCTAATAATGTCAAAGCTATTCCTCCTTGGTTTGACACAGTGCTTTGACAATGAGTTGAAGTAAATAAACTACACTTTCTTCTTCTGCCTCTCAGACCTTAAGTTAAGTCACAAAGTGGTGTATTTTGCTATCACTACACAAAATCCAAAGAGTTCCCTTACATTAATTAAAACACTTTTACTGTCAAATCCTGGCCCTTCAGGCTGTTTGAATCTCCTTGGCAAGTGGTTGTTCTGTATCAGAATCACCTGGAGGACTTGTTAAAAACAGCTGGGATGCCTGGGTGGCTCAGTCGGTTAAGCGTCTGCCTTCGGCTCGGGTCATGATCCCCGGGTCCTGGGATTGAGTCCCACATTGGGCTCCTTGCTCAACTGGGAGCCTGCTTCCTCTCCCTCTGCCTGCTGTTCCCCCTGCTTGTGTGCACTCTCTCTCTCTCTGACAAATAAATAAAATCTCTAAAAAATAAAATAAAAATATAACAGTTTGTTAGGCCCCACCCTCAGAGTTTTTCAAAATTCAGTGGGTCCCAGATGGGGCCTGGAGAGGGCCTGTCTTCAAGAACTTCTGCCCTAGGCCTAGGAGAAATAGTAAGCTTCTTTGGGGTGTAGCTCTGTTCTTGTAATAGAGCTGTTCAAATGCAGACAGGTTCTGAAATTCTTTCAGTACTCCCTCCTATTTCATGCTTCAGTGCCCTACTCTTATATCATCCTCCTAAGAAGTTAGATGGAAACTTATGTGGATGAATAAAAAGTAACTGTCAGTTTTTAGTAAGTAGGCAGTTATGTGAAATCTTACAGTTTATATTAGTGTGACAAAAGGCATTTCATACATAACTTCCTATGGTATCTGATATTGGCATATAAAATTCAGGGAAGTTACTTGCTCAGAACCATATGTAGGAGTAGCTGCCTACACAGTGTGAGTTTGAAAATTCCACGAAGGGCTCCCTGTTCTCAAATACCTCTTCTATTAGTGATTCCAGCAGTTAACTATATCATCTCTAATTTTTTTATTCCACAATTAGGGGTATGGTTTAAAATATAGATAACCCTGATAAAAACAATCCATTGAGTTTATTAAATTTACTCTAGGTTATCCGGTATATCTTTTTAAAACAATAGTTTATATAAGTTCTCCTCTCCTCCCACACACAAATCAAATTTTATCTTTTTAATTCCTTTCTAAGTAGGGAGTGTGGATGAAAACCTGCTTTAACTTTTGCCTGTGTGTGTTTGGGAGGGAGAGTTGGGGTAAGAGAGAGCTAGAAGACAGGGAAGGTAAGGGGGAAAGCATCAAAATGATGAGGACCTAAAATGGAAAAGGGTGCTTAGGGAGGGGAGCATTCGGAAAGGGGAGACTGAGAAATCTAAGCTTTCCTTTTCATAATTCCCGAGTCATCTCTGGAGTTGTATTTAGTTATCTGAAGTTTTAAGTTTGTATCTTTTGTTCCTAGATATATTGACAGTCTATTTAGGCTCCTGAAACTTGCCCTGCCTTTTCAGTAGTTTCTTAGAAATGCTTGGTACGTATTACCACTGTTCCCCTAAGTGGCAAATGCAGGAGTTGTGTCAAGACTTAGGGCTTCAGACCTTGAGTAGTGTCTCCTAAGCTGATGGCCAGAGCTAACATGAGTGACAGAGGGAGCCTGACTGATAAGGAGGTCTCAGTGGCTGATCACAAAAGCAAATGCCCACCACAGTAAAGTATCATAAGCATTACCTAAGATAATTTATTCATTTAATCTGTCATATTGATATATTATAATTTTTAAGCTGGAGTTTCCAACATTTTGCCATGTATAAAAAAACAGACTACTTGTGGTCCAGGCTAATTTGTAGTTGTTGGTACTGTAACTCTAAAAAAGTTTTTTAAACCTTCTCTTACGTATAGGGTGAAAGATTGAGTCATGCAGTAGGCTGTGCTTTTGCGGCCTGTTTAGAACGGAAGCAGAAGCGGGAGAAGGAATGTGGAGTGACTGCTACTTTTGATGCCAGTCGGACCACTTTTACAAGAGAAGGATCATTCCGTGTCACAACAGCCACCGAGCAAGCAGAAAGAGAGGAGATTATGAAACAAATCCAAGATGCCAAGAAAGGTACAGTCTGTTCTGCTACAACTGCATTTATTTAGGCCATTTTCCCCAGCAGGTTAATATTTGGAAGCTCGCAGGGGTAAGCTTTCTCACAGCCGGAGAGAACTCTTAGCAATATATGAAGACCTTCAGAACAAAGCTGAAAACCTAAACAAAGGCCTTTCCTTTAGAATGGCTTGTTTTGTGGCTTCTGAGGTGTTTACTATTTTCAGTACCGGAAGCTGGGGAGGAGGCTGAGAATGCATTTGAAGAAGCTGCACTGAGGGAGCCTGACTGATAAGGAGGTCTCAGGGGCTGCTCACCAAAGCACAGTGCCCACTACAATGAAGTCTTATAAGCTTTACTTAAGATAATTTATTCATTTCATTTGCCAGAGTGATAAATTGTATATTATAATTTTAAGCTGGAGTCCCCAACATTTTGCCTTGTGTAAAAACAAACTTATTTGTGGTTCAGGCTAATTTGTAGTTGTTGGTACTGTAACTCTAAAGTTTTTTAAACCTTCTATTACCCCCCATGTCTAAAAACAAAATTGGGGAAATCTACATCCTGGAACAGACTTCTAATTCTGATGCATCTGAGCTCTCTGAGAAGCAAATGCTACCAATGACCTACATCTTGAAGGGAGAAGTACAGGTTCAGGCTGCAAAGGGCCCACTGATGGCGATGCTGGGTGCAAATGCAGAGAGAGATTTCACAGCAGCGCCCTTTGTATTAGATGATGGCTGTGTTTTCGTGCTTTAGTGAGAAAAGTCCATGGATTTTGAGAAGCTAACCCGTCTTTTTCCCAAAGCCCTGTTAACTGTAGTGTGTGCTTTTGCAGAGTTGGTGAATTTTTTTCAGGTAGGCATCACAGCATAGCAGAAACGCCTGTGCAAGTTACTCAGGAGTCTGTTGTCCAAAGTCAGGTTTGAGTATATTGCAGAACTAAGTGATCGGGCTTAGGGAAAATGCTTCGCATTCTTGTGTACAGCTAGAGTTGAAACCAACAAGGAATGTTTTGGAATTAAACAATTTAGTTTAAATATACATTAATAAAATCTTGCTTATTTTTTACTATATCCTTTTAGTTCTAAACTAGCCATTTTAGAGAACACCATTAATCTACTGACCCAAACAACTCTGATTCTTTTTTTTTTTTAAAGATTTTATTTATTTATTTGACAGAGAGAGAGACAGCGAGAGAGGGAACACAAGCAGGGGGAGTGGCAGAGGGAGAAGCAGGCTTCCCGCCGAGCAGGGAGCCCGATGTGGGGCTCGATCCCAGGACCCTGGGATCATGACCTGAGCCGAAGGCAGACGCTTAACGACTGAGCCACCCAGGCACCCCTACAACTCTGATTCTTAAGCCAAAAAAAGATACTTATTTTATTTGAAATTAAATTCTTGATTATGATTTTTAAAAATTCCTTACAAACATTTGCATCAGATACCAAAGAATAAAAACACCATGCTATTTTTATCAGAAAATTTGAATATGTATAGCTGTTACTTAGTGTGCTTCAGTGATTTTTCAGACTGAAAGCCTATTCTTTAATACCACCAAATAATACTCTTTGCTGCACATAGCACCTACCAAAGTGGTTGAGTCCTAACACCTGGAGGATTATGAGCAGAGGAGGATAAAGATTTACCACGATCAGAATGGGACTCACCTGGTGCTCACACGGAAATAGTTTTATATTTAGGTATAATCCAATTTAAAATTTTACTTCTCTATGCTTTTATTCTGATGAACCACAAATGCACTTTGTTTGTGATTTAAAGACTCCTTTATGACATTCTTTAACATCTGATCTAACTTATACTTGCTTGGACCTTTCTGACCCTGGCATTCCCAAAGTCCTCTCTCCCCCAAAAAACAAGTGAACAAGCATTAAAAACTATGAATCATCATTCTTTAAAGGACCTCACATTAGGAGTTCATAGGTGCTGGTTTGTTTTTTTTTTAATCTTGGTCAGAGTCTTCAAGTCTTAAGCTCTGAATCATTGCATGAGAATCAAAGATCTAATATTTGTGTCTTAGTAGCTATGCCATGACGTGTAGTAGGATGTTAAACCTTTTATCTGTCTGAAATATAGGAGATCTGAGCCCTGCTTCTAACCTGTTCTTTAAGAGACATTGGGAAGGAGATGGGTAAAAGGACCTAGGAGGGTTTTGAGTTCCTCGGCTGTGTAAGCTGGAGTTATTTGAAGACTGCTAAGGTCCTCTTTCTCTTGACTTTCTTGAGCTGAAACAGATAAGACAGTTGTTGGTTCATCAGTGGCCCCTGGCAACACTGCCCCACCCCCGTCCTCTCCCACGTCTCCCACTTCGGATGCCACTGCCTCCCTGGAGACGAGCAATCCTCATGCCATCCCGCGTCGGCATGCACCCATTGAACAGCTTGCTCGCCAAGGCTCGTTCCGAGGATTTCCTGCTCTCAGCCAGAAGATGTCACCCTTTAAACGCCAGCTATCCCTGCGCATCAACGAGTTGCCTTCCACTATGCAGAGGAAGACTGATTTCCCCATAAAAAATGCAGGTAATGCAGCATCCACCTGACTCACTGGTGCTCCAGCACTGAAGCATTATCATCACTTCCCGTGGCAGACACTAATCCCATCAAGCTAGCCACCCCCTCTCCCTGAGGCTGGTTGATGGTTATATGTATCTCGTGTCATTACCCACTGGGGAAAAAATGAAGGTTCTTGGAGGGGGACGTGAATTGTTCATTTCTTTTCAACAAATAGGTAACAGAACCACGATGGGAATTCATAGACTGAGCTACAAGGTTTGCGGTTTGTCCTGATGGAAGTACACTACCTCTCAGCCAACCTGCTTCCAAACATCAGGGGTCTCAAGTTTCCGTTCTTATTCTACCATTTGGGACCCAACAGAGAATTAATTTAAAAGGCTTTGGAAACACATCTATTCAAATAGCATTACTGTCAGTGTACCAGAAGAAATGGATTAGTGCTCATTGCCCTTGTGGCTCGTTGGCTCCATACAGAGGAAACTCTAAACGGGTTTCCTGTTTAAATCGAAAATCTGTTTTTCGTCAGAGACAGTGGGCTTGCTCACACATATCCATTACCTTTCAGAACTGCCACACAGGCCTTTGTGTGGCCCCTGTACAGCTGAGCCAGCCCTGGTAGCTCTATCCTCATCATAAGATCCGGAGCTAAAATGTCAGATCTGGTCAGTGCTTTTATTGGGCTCTTTTTTACTTTGCTCTGAGACATGTCGAGCCAGTACTCCAACAGGATATGAGGAAGCTGTGTTTCACTAAGACACTCCCACTGATGATATATAAAAGTCCAGAGAGTTAAGTTTTTTTGACATATGAAACTAGACCTACATAACAGTTGGACTAGATGATTACTGAAGCTCTTTCCAGCTCTCAGCTCCTGTAAAAACGGAAACTCCAGATGCTTTCAGGACCTTGTCTTCAGTTCTCCCTCTGGAGCAGATGGGAAACAAAAACTATTCTTCTCATAGCTGAGCAAAACAAAGGTTCAACACACACTATCAGCTTCCCCAGTGAAATAGAAGTATCCCAGAGTCAATATTAAGAACAAAGGCTCTGGAGTCCTGGACCTCCGTTTGCTTTTTCATATTATCACAGTTCATATACTTGCTACTTTGGTGTTTTTGTTTTTAGAGCGGGGGTGGGGTGTGGAGTAGGAGAAGGGGCACAGAGAGGAGAGAGAGGCTCTTAAGCAGCCTCCATGCCCAGCACGGAGCCTGATACAGGGCTCAGTCTCACAACCCTGAGCTCGTGACCTGAGCCAGAAGCAAGAGTTGGACGTTTAACCGACTGAGCCACCCAGGCGCCCCTATACTTGCTACTTTGGGAAAAAATGAGTGACGACATTGTCGTAGCTTCTTTTTTTTTTAAGATTTTATTTATTTATCTGACAGAGAGATATAGCGAGAGCAGGAACACAAGCAGGGGGAGTGGGAGAGGGGAGAGGGAGAAGCAGGCTTCCCGTGGAGCAGGGAGGCCGATGCGGGGCTCAATCCCAGGACCCTGGGATCATGACCTGAGCTGAAGGCAGACGCTTAACGACTGAGCCACCCAGGCGCCCCCCTCTCGTAGCTTCTTACAGAGAAAAAGATAGAGCTGCACTGGTGCCCCTGACTTTAACCCATTTCCTGACAGAGTCACTAAGTGGCTCCAGAACTGTACTCAGACCTTGGAAACTAGTTGGAAGACAAACAGGTTGCAGATGTCTTCCAGAAAGATCTAGCTTAACTGGCACAAAAAGAGAACACCAAGTTCTCAGTAGTTTCACACAGGAAAGGAAATAAAGAAATCTGGAGATTGGCAGGAAGGAAGATACTCCTTAGTACATGAATTGTTGACATTTTATATCAGTTTTTTGAAGCTGCTTTTATAGCCCCACTTGACAGTTGAGACTTTTCCTTTCACAAATAAGGGATGCGTTATAAAATGCCACCTTGTGTCATACTGTTATATTTCAGGATTATTCCATTTTTCTGTCTGGAGCCATTTTCTGTTTGCCTTGCAGTGCCAGAAGTAGAAGGAGAGGCAGAGAGTATCAGCTCCCTGTGCTCACAGATCACCAATGCCTTTAGCACACCCTCCGAGGACCCCTTCTCATCTGCCCCAATGACCAAACCAGTGACGGTGATAGCACCACAGTCTCCTGCCTTTCAAGGTGCGTGCCCTCTGGGCCTATTCAGTTGTTCTCTTTGACACTTGTACTTTTATGGCACAGCTCACTGACTCTAGATTGGCATCCTGAGTTTCCCAAGAGCTGGTCAGACCCATTAATTTCCCTGTCTGATAATGTCTCAGAGTCATTAATTCCCCTGTTCCACAATGTCTTTGTGCTGTGTCCCCACTCCTGTTTCCTAAAATGGCTGCATTTATCACTTTGCATGTACCTGTCATCTTTGATCCCATTCTGTTAGGAGTTTTTGTAGTCCCCAACCCACTGCTTTATTTGCCACTTAACTGTTAAGAGTCAGAGTTTCCAGCTAGCTCGCTCGCTAGAAGCAGCAGTCATCAGAGTTGGTTCCAACATATGCCTTTTTTTTTTTTAAAAGATTTTATTTATTTATTTGTCAGAGAGAGAGCGCACAGGCAGGGGGAGCAGCAGAGGCAGAGGGAGAAGCAGTTCTCCCTGCTGAGCAAGGAGCCTAACAGGGACTCGATCCCAGGAACCCGGGATCATGACCCGAGCGCAAGGCAGATGCTTAACCTGCTGAGCCACCCAGGCGCCCCACGGTGTATGCTTTCTTTAGCAGAGTGGTTCTCAACCCAGGGCAGTTTTGCTCCTTTCAGGGAAAATTTGGCATTCATTGGTGACATTTTTGGGTGTTACGGCCTGGGAGGGGTGGTTGCTACTGTCATATGCATAGAGGCTAGGGATGCTACTAAACATCCTTCAGTGCACACGACAGCTGCCCTCGCAACAAGGAATTATCTGGCCCAAATTATCAATAGTGCCAAGGTTGAGAAGCCCTGGACTCACCTAGTTTCCACCCTGTCACAAGAGGCTCATAAAGAAAAAGGCATTTCTTTTGGCTCTTTAGTTCATTTCATCTTCTATAACAAGTGTCCTAAAATTTGCCTTTGTAAAGGCATTGAGGAGTTACTAAAAGTTGTTGTTTTCATAGATGCTGAGTTAATAGTTGGTATTGACTCTGAAGTCCACAAAGAGTCTATATATAATTTAAATTACTTCTAGAATTTGAACTCCTACAATCACCATTTCTTCCTTTCTTTTGAGAAAGAGCTCAGAAGTTTTGCTGTGGAGACAGTACCCCATTCCTGTCAGGAGGATACTACATGCTTTCCTTCAGAGTCTCTTTTTAATAACAGAAACAAAAAAAATCCATTATAATCATGTGCACCAAATGGCTTTTCATTTCATCTAACAAATATTTGTAATACCTATAATAGGCACAATTTATTGAGCACTTACTAGCACAGTGTCTGCCATATCTTGGTAAGGACTCATGCATTTTCTCATCTCATTTAATCCCCACAACAACCCTTTGAGGTAAGCGTTACGGTTAAGGAAGATGAGGCTCAGAGAGATTGAGCAAATTGCCCAAATGCACAGCCAGGATTTAAACCCAGGTCTTTCTGAATATCGTGTCTGTTACATTCTGTTGCCTCTGTGCCTATTTACAATGGGATGTACAAAACTGGATAGAACATAGTCCTTTCCTTGCCTTTAAAGGGCTCCCAGTCTATGGGTGAGCTAGGCTTTTAGACAAGCCTGGGGTAAATAGTACCAATGCCATAAGCATGGTTGCCTAGTCTTAAAGAGGGAGTGATTAAAGCAAAGGGCAGGGGAAGGTGCCTGCTTGTCTGCTCCAAACTAAATATGATAGAGAGCCAGACTAAGGAATAGAAACTGATGGAATAGATATCTGGAGTAAAGGAGCAAGGGTTAAGAGCTTTTTAATAAAGAGAGAGGAAAGAATAGTAATACTTTGAGATATTATGACCATTCCTGAGGGGAAAAAAATCTTCAAAAAAGAAAGATGAAATTAATTCTGTAGTGAATTACAAATTTATTAAGCAAATGAAAACATATTCCAAGTTTGATTTCTCATTTATAGTATGAGTATACCAGCTTTATGGTATACTTCTCTCTTTTTTGAAAGAATTAAATAGGATGATGCACGCTGAAGTACTATTAATGATCATAAGGGATCATTATATTTAACCCATTGTTGTTGGCATAATTTGATCTTTTGGAAAAGTGGTAGGAGAAGGAAATGCTTTATATACATCATTATGCCAAAGGCTAAGCTATATCTAGAATAGATTTTCGCTGCTTGTAAGACAAAGCAGCTCTGTTCAACTTAATTGGAAATTGTTTTTCTAGGTTTCATTCCCTCTCCCCCTCTACACAGATTTTCCTAGAATGGTCATTTGACTTTTTTTTTTTTTATCAGTATAGCTATTTTAATTACAACCTCTAATTCCCTTTTTGCCAAAAGGTTTGTGTACCCACTGCAAGAGGGCATGGTTATCCCAACACCAACTTTTCTGTCTTATCTGTTCCACCAGTATCGCCCATTGGCCTGACTGACCCAGCTCCAGGGGGTCGCCCGTCCACCCCGCATGCATTAACTCCATCGGTGTTGTCTGCTCCCATTGTAGCTAATGGCACTGACTCAGCCTTCCATGTGCTTGCTGCTAAGCCAGCCCACACTGCTCTAGCACCCGTAGCAATGCCTGTGCGTGAAACCAACCCCTGGGCCCATGCCCCTGATGCTGCTAACAAGGGAATTGCAGCCACACATTCGGGTAAGGTGGCCATGGATGGTGGTGAGGATTCTGGGATCAGATGAGTGACGCCGATTAAGAAATCAACCATTTACCTGAGTGGGAACCAGGGAGAAATCCTTTCAGACACAGTATGTTTCCCCCCTGGAAATACACTACTATTAGGAAAGGATGGTGAAGGAGAGGAACTCAAGAGATTAGATTTGATAGTTCTTAGGACTACGAAACAGAATTACCCACTAGAGCTTTCATAAAATACAGATTCCTGGGCCCTGCCCTGAGTCGACCACTGAATTTGGAGATGTGTGGACATGCCCGCAGCAAGGGGGTACCCCGCGTGATGGCAGGCCTACAGAAAGGGCTGCCAAAAGTACTTCATATTTTTCTATACTTTCTAGTTTTCCTATAGTGAACATTTGTTAACTATAAAATTGGAACAAATTTTAAATAGTAATGAAGGCAGTTCACCTGAAGGATAACGTGTCTTGAAGCGAGACGGGGGCCACGAGGCACCTTGCCAAGTTACTGGTTATTTTCTTTTTATTCTGTTAGAGCAGAAGGTGAATCACCTTGGGCCCTTCAGAGCATGTGCAAGCTGGTTTCTGTACCATGGAGGAGCCCCAGCAGTAGGAAAGGGTTTCTGATGCCAGCCAGCTGCCTTCATTCTGTGCAGTCGAGCCCTATCTAGACAGCTCCTCAGCACGGCTGAGACAGCAGCATAGTCTGACAGGTTCCCTTTGTCCTAAAACAACCCCTCCTCAGCTGGTAATAGAGACTTTTCTCCCACCGGCCAGAACCACAAAATATCCCATTGAGGGACTTGTTCCACCTGTTAGGCTCATTCAGGTAACCAAGGTTATCGGGAAAGAAAAGAAACCCCTAAAGATTCTGATTCGTTTGTCTCTCTCCCTCTTGTTTGTTCCCAGGGACCGAGTGGGGTCAATCTTCTGGTGCTGCATCTCCAGGTCTCTTGCAGGCTGGTCACAGACGCACTCCCTCCGAGGCGGACCGCTGGTTAGAAGAGGTGTCCAAGAGCGTCCGGGCGCAGCAGCCCCAGGCCTCAGCGGCTCCTCTGCAGCCAGTTCTCCAGCCTCCTCCACCCACTGCCATGACCCAGCCAGCGCCGCCTTTCCAAGGGAACGCATTCCTCACCTCTCAGCCTGTGCCAGTGGGCGTGGTCCCGCCCCTGCAGCCAGCCTTTGTCCCTGCCCAGTCCTATCCTGTGGCCAATGGGATGCCCTATCCAGCCCCTAATGTGCCTGTGGTGGGCATCACTCCCTCCCAGATGGTAGCCAACGTGTTTGGCACTGCAGGCCACCCTCAGGCCGCCCACCCCCATCAGTCTCCCAGCTTGGTCAAGCAGCAGACATTCCCACAGTATGAGACGAGCAGTGCTACTGCCAGTCCCTTCTTTAAGCCGCCTGCTCAGCACCTCAACGGTTCTGCAGCTTTCAATGGTGTAGACGATGGCAGGTTGGCCTCAGGAGATAAGCACACAGAGGTTCCTGCAGGCACCTGCCCAGTGGATCCTTTCGAAGCCCAGTGGGCTGCATTAGAAAGCAAGTCCAAGCAGCGTACTAACCCCTCTCCCACCAATCCTTTCTCCAGTGACTTACAGAAGACGTTTGAAATTGAACTTTAAGCAGTCTCTATGGCTTATGTATTTTGTCTGTACTTAGCAAGGGCAGGGGCAGAGGTCAAAGGAGCAAAGGGAACTTTGTGTTCCCAGTCAGTATACTTTTCACCAATCCCAAAGGTCCCAAGGCATGTCCAGGCAGAGAGTGCTAGGAGAGGTGGTTCTGAAAAAAATGGAAAAAACATTCCTAGAGAAGAGTTGTCTTGCAGTTAGGCTAAAGAAGTCAAGGAGATGTTGCCCTCTGTCCCCCTCCTACTCCCTCAGCCCCTTACAAATCTCTGGCAACAGAGAGGCAGAAATATCTGAACAGGAATCTGTATTCAAAGCACATTTACTGGAATATAAAACACAACGGGAAGCAAAACAATCTCCCTTTGTTTTTCAGGCCATTCACCTGCCGCCTCTCAGTACTGGCCTTAGAGATCAAGAACATGGTGGGCTGTGCTTGGGCTGGGGACGGGAGGCAGGCTATGTCGCCAGAATTCCCAGGAGGGCACATCAGCAGCTGCCCAACAGAGCTATATTTTAGGGGCAAAGTTGAGCTTCCACTTTGAGTAAGAATAAATATTATAAGTATATATATCAAAAAAAAAGCCAAAATCTTTATTTTTATGCATTTAGAATATTTTAAATAGTTCTCAATATTAAAAAGTTTTATGAGTTGTAAGTAATCTTGCCAAAGGTAAAAGGGTTAGCTGTAAGAAATTGTACATAAGATTGATTTATCAGTGATGCCTATTGAAGCGGAGAGAGGAAAGGTGGGGAGTTGCAGATGGGGTCCCTAGCTTATTTGGTATCATTCATTGTAAGTAGCACATTGCAGCAACAATCATGCATATGACCAATACAGTCACTAGGTTGTAGTTTTAAAGAAAATGAAAGAGCAGTATTGTCCTGGTTTTAAACCTGTGATGAAATTCTAATGTCTTTATTTTAATGGAATCAATCTAAATACTCTATAGAGAATATGCATTTTCTTTTATATACTGCTGTTTGTTTATGTTAATCCTCTAACACTAAGGTGACAATGACAGAATCACGTCCGTTGATGGGGAGCGCAGGCTACTGTGTTGGTTTGTCATGTGGGTCTTGGTGGGTCTTGTTTTGTCCTTTAGGTTTTGTCCCCACGAGTTTTGTGGGGATGGAGATTCTAGTTTTATTAGCTGTGTGTGCGTCTGTCCCCCCACTTGTGATCAGAATGTCCCGTTGCCAGTGGCGGCCTCTTGACCTCTGGTAACAACGTGAGGTCCCATCTCATTCTTACTTTTGAACATTGGCCTTACAATCAAATGTAAGTTATATATATTTGTACTGATGAGAATTTATAATCTGCTTTAACAAAAATAAATGTTCGTGGTAGAAGCTTTTGCCCATGAAGGGCTGGTCTTTCCCCTTTTCTTTATTAGCAAGTGTGTTTACTTTTAGTTCTTTTTGGTCTGTTCTTGCTCCGTTCTGCTGCTGCTACAGAACTCTGGTTTGGTGGCTAGAAAATCTTTTATTGGGACTAGTATATTCTTTATTATTGAAGTATAATTGGCATACACTGTTATCGTTTCAGATGTACAACATATTGATCCAACAATTCTATACATTACACAGTGCTCATCACAATAAGTGTGGTCACCATCTGTCACCATACATGCCATTACAATATTATTGACTATATTCCCTGTGTTAGACTTTTCATCTCTGTGACTTATAACTGGAAGATTGTACCTCTGGATTAATCCCCTTCATCTATTTTGCCCACCAGGACTAGTATATTCTTAAAATTCACTTTTGTGTTTCTACTTTAGGCTTTGGTTGATCCTAAGCATATCTCTGATGTCAGATTCTTGCTGCTCAAAGTGTGGTCTGGAACAGGAGCATGGACTGCACCTCGGAGCTGAGTTAGAGGTACAGAATCTCAGCACCACCCTCCCCACCCCCCAGCCTAGTCATCAGAAAATACACTGGAACCGAGGTTCACCTTCTGAAAGGCCCCGCTGGAGCGGTGAGTTTCAGCCTTGGATACATACTAGAATCACTTCTAAAATCCTCACACTGGCCCATAGTCCAGGCCAATTAAATCAAAGTGGTTGGGGGAGGACCTCAGGTTTGTTTTTTTTTTAAGTTCCCAATATGGAATAGGGCTGAGAACCACTGGTCTAGCTTGAGTGTTACTCTCCTGTACTTAGCCCACTACTCTGTGACTAGTTCTGAGAAGAGCTAGCTAACCTCAAACTTACTTCTGAATGATGTTGCCAATTGGCGAGAACTGGGGAGTCCAAGAAAGTAGCCCTTAGTTTCCAATTTGTATAGCAAAACCAGCCATGGTAAATGAAAGGAGGTCCTCCTCTGTATTTTTTTAAGTGGAAAGAAAGAAACACCTCTGCCCCTAACCCATGTTTCCTGTGTTGAATGAGAGGTAGACCAAGAAGTGTCACTCACCCATGATGCAGTTTGTCTCTTTTCCAACCAGTGTGCTGGTAGTAAAAGCTTTCTCTGTAATGCCTTTCTATGTCCCAGAATAACCTGTCACTTAGGTCCAGCCAGTCCTCTGGAGGATGTGTAGAAGGTTAAAGTGGAAAGGGACCTGGAAGCTCATTGAATCCAGGCCTCTTGTTTAGCAGCGAGGAACTGGAGGTTCTGAGAGATGGAGGAGGACTTCTTCCTACTCAAACCATTCCTGAAACCACTTCGTTGTTAATGTATTGCCTTCCCCTTCTTTGCTCCCTTATCCTGCTGATGCGTGTTTTTAATAGTCTGGTTCTGCCTCACAGATTCCTGCTTGGGGAGGAGAGGCTCCCAGCTGGTCACTGTACATAGCAGGTCAGCTTGATGCAGGGGTGAGGTGATCCTCACAACCAGGCTCTGCATGTTGGCCTCAGGAGGAGGGCTTCCGGCACTAGCTTCCTGAGGAGAGTAAGGAGCCCCCCCACTTCTGGCATGCTCCCATCATCAGCTGCTGCTCCTCCGTCCCAGATCCCTGTACTGAGCGTTACGTGCCATATTCCTCTTTGGCAAGAGCTTTCACAAACATGCCATTAACTGGACGTACAGGTGGGAGTTGAAGCTGATTGCCACACTGCCTGGAAGGGTGAGGTTGACGACTAGAGCAGTGAACCACTGTTTGTTTGACCCTAGAGGAGATGGGAGTTCTAGCAGAGAAAAAATTGCCCGACACGGCAGGAACGAGTGTGCCCCGTGTGAGATACGTGTTAACTTTGAAACCATCATACACCTCCCCACCCAGCTTTAAATGAATCGAGAACCCTGGTAGCTTGCTTTAGAACCCATTGAATTGATCCTGTATAACAAATGATAGAGGGAAGCTGTAAAGGGTGTGCTTATCCAAGCCGACTCCTCGTGCCAGCGACCTGTGGTGCCGGCGGCTGCTGAGGCGCGGCGGGCTGAGAGTCCCATTCTCTGAAGGGTAGAGCCCGTTGGCAGCCAGAGGCCATGGACCGGGAGTTGTTTCAGGACTGGGGCTGCGGCTAGCCTTCATCCCTGCCGCCAGACAGGCTGAGCGTGAGGCTGGACGCGGGAACAGCTAGCACAGCAGAAGCTGGAGTAATACTCATTGCCACAGAGCCGGGCCTGCAGGATCAGAGCACAGTTGGCCAGCTCAGGCTGATCTGCACACTCCCTGCTGAGGGCCCTGGGCTGGGCGGGCAGTGCTGCGGAGACAACCGGGGAGAGACAAAGGGGTAAGGAAGCTGTGGAGGCTGAAAAGTCCCACCTCCCCTTTCTTTGCCTTAAGAGGAAAGCAACAGAACTGCCAGATTCCCAAAAAGCACAGTTGCTCTGTACTCTTTTTATCACCTGTGTGCATCTCCTACCCCCGCCCCCGCCATGGGCCTCATCTGGGCACGCAGTGGTCCTGCAGCCTCAGCCCAGGGCAGACTCTCAGGCACTGACTACACATGGTGACACCTCTTGAAGTTAACTGCCTACCCTTGCTACTGTGACCTGAAGAGCTGAGTGACAACTGCCTTAGCCCCTGGATTGGGAAGGGAGGGTGGGGGGATCAGCCTGAAGTAAAATTTTGAGTTGGGCCAGAACTGTCTTGTCTCTCTCTCTCACTGCTGATTTCCTCTAACCTCAAAAGGTTTGTGCCTTCAGTAGCCCCAGTTTATCTCAGTCACTTCGTTCCCCATCTTCCCAATTTTCCCCCCCCCCCCCCCCCCGCCCCGAGAGAGCAAGCGAGCATTAGGCAAGGCGGTTAGGAGAAGAGCCTAATGAGCTATGGCCCCAACACTGCACTAAGCACAAAATGCTCGCTGCTGCCCCCTCTGAATGTGCTAGGAGCTTTGGGAACTTAAAAATCCCTGTGAGAGGGGTGCCTGGCTGGCTGGGTCTGTAGAGCAAGTGACTCTTGATCTCAGGGTTGGCAGTTCAAGCCCCACAGTGGGCATAGAGATTTTAAAAAAAAAAACAAACCCCTGTGGGTGTTTTATTCTGCTGCTTCATCTTAGGACTGAAGTGGCCTCATCTAGTTAACTTCCCTTTTCTTTCTGGAAGGGGCTCTTGTGACTCAGCTGGACTTAGGCCTGAATAGCACCTTCCCTAAAGTCAGACCTCCTAGGGTCTTCATCTCCTCTCCCCCTGCTTCTTCCCAAAATACAACGAAAAAGATTATACCTCAGTAGTCTTAGTACCTGATTCTCTACAGGTTAGGAGTATCAGTATAATGAGAGTACTAACTACAGCTGACCCTTAAACAACATGGGTTTGAATTGCGCGGGTCCACGTGATTTTTTCCACTAAATACTGTACAGTATTGTAACTGCATTTTCCTTATGATTTTAACATTTTGTCTAGCTTTCTTTGCTGTAAGAATACAGTATATAATACACATACAATATGTGCTGTGTTATCAGGAGGGCTTTGGTCAACAGGCTATTAGCAAAGTTTTGGGAGTCAATGTTCTATGTGGATTTTTGACTGCACCAAGGGTCGGTACCCCTAATCGCTGGCGTTGCTCAGGGGCCAACCGTACCTACATTTATATAAATATCAAGCCATTTATGCATATTGTTTTAAAAAATCAGTAACTTTGATAACGACTTCCTCTCAGCAGTTGCAGCCCGGGGCCTGTGAAGGGCCCAGAGGTTAGGTGCCCAGCACAGTGGTTAACCACACCAGCTCTGGAGCCAGACTGCCTGAGCTCAGTCCTGGCTCTCCTGCTTCCCAGCTGGGTGACTTTGGGCCAGTTACTTCAGCTCTCTGCCTGTGCTTCCTCACCTGAAATGGAGATGGGAACAGCACCTTGGGCACACAGTGACTGTGGCTAAAATTTGAGTGTTTGACCATGTTTTGCTACATAGCCCCTCATTCCCTCTGATTCAAAAAAAGTGCATGAGCCCCTGTGTTTTATCGCTACAGTATTTTCCGTTTCTCACCCCGGTCTTTTAGGCAAGAAGGTTGGAAGCATGTCCCTTACACCAGAGCATGACTAGCTTAAAGCCCGCTACCTGGACGCTAACACCAATTCCAGTATGCCACCAGACCACAAATCAGGCAAAGTGAGGCAGCCTCAAGCAGTGAGACCCTACAAAAAGCATAATCAACAGAGTGAATACAAAGAGAGGGGCGAGACAGCTTCTAGTCAAGAAAGGTGCCCACAAAATAGGAGATGAGCAACACTCATCCAGCAGAGGGCAGGAGAAAGGCGTCCTGTCCAGGAGGCAGGTCACGTCAGACATTTCAGTGTGCGACCACACAAGCAAGAGCCCCACCAGACTCTGCCATCAGACAAGTTTCTAATTTGGCTTCCCATGCAGACGTGTCTACAATGAGTCACAAACATGAACACCTGGGTCCCCTGACAGCTCTCTCACCCAAATCTGCATTCTGGTTTGTAAATCTGGTTGTAGACAAGAGATCAATCTGCCGGGCAGGGTGGAGGGGAAAAATGGCCCCGGTGGTCTAGCGCTTTTGCGAAGGTAACGCCCTCCTGCAGTCACCAAGCCTGAGCACTTAGTGATGCTGAGCACTGAGCAGGGCCCCGGGGACTCGAGTCCCAGTGGCTATCCTAAGGAGCTCAGAAACCGGAAGCCTACGTGTCAAGTCTGATTCACTAAGCGACATTTCTACCACGGACCTTCAACCTCTAGCGCTGGCCTCTTCCCACCCACAGCGTAGCAGGCCCCGTACCCCTGGTATAGCAGCTCTCCTGGTGTGTGCTGCTGCCCTGACCACCATGAGCGTCCAGGCAGACAGCACAGGAGAGGTCATCCTGAAAAGTCTGCTTCAGGCCTCATGAGAACCGGCAGCTCGGCCTGGGGCACTGCCCTACTGGTCAGTCAGTGAGCCTGCACCAAGGACACATGGAAGGGCAGGCTGGGCGGAGGGCAGGCCTCCCACTCCCCCTTGCCCTCTGGCCTCTTTGACGATAGAGCTCACGTCTATCTTAACAATTCTGAGATGTGCTGATTTTTCCATTTTAACACCTCTCCAATTGGACTGCATCTGAATTGATTGTGTCTTAGCATAGTGTCATTTAACAGTTCTAGCGGCATTTTTTTCTTAGTGGTATGAAACTAATTGTTTTACAACATGGTCCTTAGGTTCACTGATCTATAACTCTGAGCAAGAGCTGAAGAACATAAACTACTGAATAATGCAAGTAAAATTCTGCCCAGTTACAGCTACAGTCGTTTAAGGAAAAGAATATTAAATATGAGGACTAGGGTCTAATCCCAACTTAGCCCCTCATTTGCTGTGTGACTTGTGGAAACATCACATAAGGTGTCTGGATATCTGTCTCATTTGTACAATGGTGATACTAATCCCTGCCCTTCCCTTTCTGGGTTATATCGTCAAAGGCACTTTTCAATCATAGGATCGTTTTTTTGCCACCTTGATTAGAATGGACACATTTAAGAGTCTATCTGCTGTAAGGATTATAATGAAATTCCAGTCAATCCTATTTCTCAAATTAGTAAGTCTAAATAATATTTGATACCGCCTATTAAGCTGTTACCAGATGCCCATCATCTGCACCATCTCCTTCACCCTCACCAGAACTCCCTCAGGCGCTGGAGTCACCTGCTGCACATGGGAGGGGAGAGGTTCAGGAAGGTTGAGCCCCTTGCCACGGATGACACTACCAGGAACTGGCAGAGTGAGCCAGGACTCAGGCTAGGGTCCCCCCCAGCCCGCAGAGCCTGCCCTCCTCCGCCCTGTGCAGCACAAAGCCAGCTGTGGGGCACAAGCAAGTCCCTGGGCTAGGCCTCTTACCCGGGGGGACCAGCTTCACCTCGGTGCTGCGGCTCACTGCCTGGCTTCCACGGTAGGCACTGCACGTGTAGGAGCCCTCATCTCTGGCCTGCAGGTTGTGGATCAGCAGCGTGCCATCTGGGGACTGGTGGATGCGATGCCCGTCGGCCCGCACCGGCAGCCCGTTCCTGGAGGGGAGAGGACTGTGGGAGAGCCGGCCAGGCCCAGGAGACAAAGGGAGGAGGTAATCATTGTGGACAGATGACCCTCACCTCGAGAAAGAGATGGGGCAGGGTGCCAAAAAGAACATTCTCAGAGCAAAATAACTCAGAAGTGAGGTGAACTCACCTCAACTGAGCACACTAAGTTATTGTGAATTTGCCTTTTAATCCACAAAGGAACCCCGCTCTCGCTTTTCATCAACAAAGGTCTCTCAAGCAGCCATGAGGTGCCAGGCCCTGTGCTAGGTGAGGGACATAAGCGCTCCCTGCCTTGAGGGCACTGGGCTGGGGTACAGGTGCTTAGGGGCGCCTTCCCTGGGGATGACCTAACTTGAGCCCTGACCTGAGGACAAGGAGGAACAGTTGGCCGGTGAAAGGGAGAACGAGGGGGCTCGTGAGCTCGAAGGGAGGCCATGGTCAGAGCAGGGAGGGAAGTGGACACAGCCTAGACCGAGTTTGGCCTGGACCCTGGGGGGAATGGAGGGGTGTGAGCTAAGCAGGACTGACCAAGTATCTGTGCTTGGAAAGGCTCGCCGACTGCGGCGAGGACAAGCCTGAAAGCAGAGAGCAGGAAAGTGGCTACGGCAGAAGTGCACACATGGGTGAGGGCCAGATGTGCGAGGTCGGGAGAAGACATGAAGGATGACAGAGGTTCGGGGCTTGGGTTACTGGATGAGAGTGGTGCCCCTCCACCATAGGAAGATCCAGAGTGGGGAGGAGGGCTGAACAGTGAATGCTCTTTTCTACCATTTTACATTTTGGGTGCCCACAAGATACCAGGCGGCATTGGATTTGAGGTCTAGACCCAGACAGTGTATCAGCACTGGATGATCCTGGAAACCACATGCCAACAAGGTTACCCAAGGTGAAGTCAGACAGACCAGGGACCAAGCACGGCCCTGAGGTGCACCAGCCTCTTAAGGGATTGGTGTGAGATGAGCCAGCCAGGAAAACAAGCAGCGGCCAGAGGAAGAGGGCCAGGCCAGAGGAAGAAGGCCAGACGACAGTAGTTTCCTGGAGCCAAGGGGAGGGAGCATGTCGGGAGGTGCAAGCGGTCAGTGGAAGGACCCTGCCGGTCGTGTGGGAACTGCGATTTGTCCAGAGGATTTAGGAACAGGGCAGTATCCCTGGAGTGGGGATGGAGGTGAGCCGCTGTGAGGGGGAGACTCCAGATGAGGCCAGGGTCTGCAGGGACATGCAGGGTCAGAAGAGGGTATCTTTTGTTGTGCTTTGAAGAGGAGAGTCCTGAGCGTGTTTGCTGCTAGGAAGATCAAGGAGAGGCAAAAGTGGAAGATACAGGCCTGCTAGAATCATCAGAGGCCGGACCTGATCAGGGCAGGTCTGCACAGAGCACAGCTGCTCAGAAGCCTACAGAAGCTTCCGGCCGCCCTCCCTACTCCTGCGCGCAGGCCCCTTCCCGTCTTGACATCTCTTATACTCACCTTTGAGGCTCGGTCAAGAACAGCCTTTCCCTCCTCAGCCTTCAAGGCCCAGCCAAAGTCACATGTGTGGCCAGTCCTTCCTGGATTCCCCCAGAGAGGAGGCAGCCTCCGTCCTCTGGGCACACACAGCATTGAGGGCAAACCTCCGGACCCCAGGGGACACGGGGCCATCTCCTGCCTGGGAGTATCTGCGGGCTCAGATTACACCAAGATCCCCAGAGCCTAGGCTATTCCTGACACATGGCAAGGAAGAAGGTGGCAAAAAGTGTTTGCTGATAGAATGAATAAAAGAGCACCTGATCCGGGGTAAAAGACCACTGAAGTCCCCAAAGTTGAGTATAGCCCAGTGGTTCTCAACGCCTGAGGGAGATTGTGTCACCCAGGGGACATTAAGAGACGTCTCTAGACATTGTCAATTGTCATGACTTGGGAGGGAGATCCTACTGGCATCTAGTGGGTAGATGGCCTGGATGCTGCCAAACATCCTACAATACACAGGACAGCCCCGGCAATCAAGAATTATGCAGTCCAGGGCACCTGGGTGGCTCAGTCAGCTAAACATCTGCCTTTGGCTCAGGTCGTGATCCCAGGGTCCTGGGATCGAGCCCCACATTGGGCTCCCTGCTCCGCGGGGAGCCTGTTTCTCCCTCTCCCTCTGTCCCCTACCCCCACACTTGTATGCTCACGCTCTCTCTCAAAATCTTAAAAAAGAAAATTATCCAGTTTGAGATACCAATAGTGCCAAGGTTGAGAAACCCTGGTGTAGCCCGGCCAACAGAGACAGTCCTCTGGGGCCTCACTGTGTCAGGAAGAGGGTGCTGCAGCCCCCTCCCCTGGAGGCAGGAGTTGAAGAATGAATGGTGCGAACTGCAATATCCTTGCAGAAAGGTGGCCGCCTCTCTGGGCTGCACAGCCTCAGGTGTGAGGGTCTGAGGGCCAGGCCTGTGTGGAACGGAGCCTTACCTGGACCATCTGATGTTTACACTTTCTCCTGTCACCACACACAGCAGCCTGGCCGTGTCCCCTTCTGGCACCATCATAGTAGAGGGCAGCTCTGTGATGGTCAGCTCCCCTAGGCCCGAGGAGGAAGCACTGTCGGCCACTTGCCAATCCTGCCCCACCCGTGCCACCTGACCTCAGAGGTCACCTTCCGCTCAGGACTGCCACCTTACCCAGAACTCTGAGCTGGACCCATCTCTGGTCTCGGTCCTGCCCGTTGAAAGCAACACAGGCATAGAAGCCACCATCTTGTGCAACCACATGGCTGATGACCAGAGAGCCATCGGGCTGCAGCTGGTGTCTAGGAACAAAGCACAGTCGGGTGGCTCCATCCCCAGGGGGCTGGCAGGGTCTTCCTTTCCCTGGGGAGGGGCTGAGTGGCCCCTACTGTTCCGTGGGGTCTGAGCAAAGGGCCATCCGACCTTAGGCCCTGAGGTCCTCCAGCTGCTGGTATGCTCATTTACTGGGAGGGGCCTGACCTTTAAGCCCGGCAATAAAAAACTCATTCCAAGCTTCCAGATACAAAATAATTCTGGTGTGGGTTTCTAGTTCTTGCTCTACTCATTCAGCAGGCTCAGATCTCGGTTCTGCCGCTTAGGAGCTGTGTGGTGTTAAGCTCCTGTGCGTAAAGCAGGTAAGATAGCACCTACCTCAATGTGGCCCTTGTGCGGACTGCACGATGGGGAACAAGCCTCAGGCTCGTAACGAGTACAGGAAATGCCAGCTGTTCTGATTACAGCCAGAAATGGGTCTGCCTCCGTTTTGTCCCTCAGCCATCACCCCTCCTTAGCTGGCCCATTACTTCTGTCCACTAACCACACTGGAAAGACCCAGAGACCCAAATGTTGGTTTGCCCCAGGAGCCCTACTGCCCAGCTGCAGCATCTCTAGAGAGCCCGTGGAATCCTGCTCAGGACTGACCAGGGGTGGCGTCTGGCAGCTCCCTCCCCGAGCCCTGCCTGGGCCGGAGCTGAACACAAACCTGGGGGAGGAGAGGGGCTGCCCGTCTCTCTGCCACTCAATGGCTGGGGGCGGGAAGCCCTCAGCACGGCAGGTTAACCGGATCCGCTGGCCTGGTTGGGCGTCCACCACCCCAGGCTGGTTCCTGTCCAGAAGCAGCCTGCAGAACAAGCACCCCACAGCCTTGAGGGGGGCCCTCTGCACAAGCCCATGGGCCCCTTCTCTCCTGCCCAATTCAGCTTCCTAACAGAGCTGCTTTGTTCTGGGCAGGACACCGCCACCAATCACCTGGGGCTTTCCTGCCTTCCCCACTGCCCACCCCCACTGCCCCAGAATCTTGACTGTCACCTCCCTGCCCTGCACCTCTGCTACTCGGTCCTTGACTTGTGCCCTCCAGCCCTCCGCAAGGCCTCTATAAATTTCCTTCAAGGCCTTCGCAGCCCTCTAGCTCCCGGTGTGTTTCCCTTCCCTCAGCCCCTGTGTCCTGGGCCTTGGGCCATCCTCAACTGTTTGGGGAGGGGTGGAGGGCTCCCCTTCCTCCTAAGAGGCTGTGCTCAGGGAGCCGTGTTTCTCTTGTCCTCACCGGGCAGAGCGCTGTGATTCACCTCCCCTCCCCTCCTTTCACCACTGAGACCCCCATCACCCCCGGCCCTCCAGGGGGTCGGCTGAGAGCGGGACTGCACTGCTGCACTGTTACCTGCTCGTGGGCCGAGGCTGCAAGGAGGAGATGGCCCCTAGGCCTCCTCTGTCCCCCACTAGGCTGGAGTCCCGAGGACTGTGGCCCTGGGCTGGGTCCCTGGTCTGAGGGAAGTGCCTTGGCTCAGCCGCAGATAGCACGGCCACATCAGCCCCTGTCATGAGGCCAGGAGAAGGGGTGAGCTGTGGGGAGAATGTGGTGGAAGGAGGGGGAGGGCCATGAAGCTGGCCAGGGACATGTGGAAAAATGAGTGCCACAAGGGGCAAGACCTCTACCTCGGCCCTCGCGGAGCACACAGTCCCTGCCAGCAGGAAGGGCCCCTCCAGTGTGGGAGCACCCGGCTCAGGCCTCCCAGCCAGGGCCTCCCGCGTGGGGCCCATGGGAATCCCCGGGGCAGACACCTGTGACACGAAGCTGGATCTTCTGAGAGTCACGGCCTGGCCGGCTGCTGCCACAGCTGTAGATGCCAGCATCCTCTGCCCGCAGGGGACTGATGACCAGGGAGCCATCAGGCTGCGGCTTGTGCCTGAGGAGGTGGGGGCCTGAGCTCTGGGCTCCTGAGGACAATAAGCCCAGCCTGCCTCCGGCCCCAGCGCTCCTACCAGAGGGGACTGCAGCCCTGCATGCATGCTCCCATCCCAGGGGACATCAGGGGGCTGCCATACACATACCTGTCGGAGGAGATGGGCTGCCCATCTTTCTGCCACCTGGCGTGGGGCTCCAGGGATGTGTCATCTTGGCAGAGGAGCTGCACCAACTGCCCCCGGGGGGCCTGCACCAGGGACAGCTCCGGGCCTGCCAAGCTGACCCTGGGGGGAGGGGGGCGGTGGTGAGGACCCGCACTGCTGGCTTGAGTGCCAGGACTGGGGACTCCCCTTCATCAGTGTCCCACCACAGACAGCTGGGTGCCCATCCTGTCTGGCACTTTCGGGGTCAGCTCCAGAAGCCCGTGGCCTCGGGAATCCCCCCTCTCCATCCTCCCCACATGCCCTTGGACGTTGCAACCTCAGCCTGGTCCTGTGACAGCAGCAGGGTAGGCGCAAAGCCCAGGGCATGGAGGGGCCGGGAGAGACTGCTCACGACAGGTCCATGTGGGGAACTAAACCACATGCTTGACCCCTTTGGAATTCAAAGTTTTATTTATTTTGTTTTTACTCTCCCCAAAGCTCTCATGACTCAGTCCCAAGGCTGTGGAACCCAAACTAAATCTGAGAGAGAATATCACCATTTTATAGGTCAAGAAACTGAGGCTTGGAGAAGCTGGAGGACTTGCCGAAGGTCATGAAGCCTGCAAGCTTTTCTGACTAGACAGGCCCGGGGTGTACGCGCAAGGCCTGACCAAGATGGCAGCACCATCTACTGGCAAGTCTCCTGTCTCCAATGCCAGCTTCCCCATGTGTACAGCAACAGGACCGAGGCCCAAACAGCAGGGCTGTTTGGAGGACTTGAGGTTAGGGATGGGGAGGGAGGGCCTGCGGACCTCCTGTTTTAGCTCCAACAGGTGTAGCCCCTGACCTGGGGAAGGTAGGCCTCACCTGTAGGGGGAGCTGTGGGAGGGCGGCGCTGGTCGCCGGGCATCTCCACCCAGGCCAGGGGCTCGGGGCCCGAGCTCCCCGCCCCAGGGCCGTTCTCCAAACGCCTGCGTGTGGGACTCCTTCCTTGGCCCAGGCTCTTGGTCTTCTCGCCACCCAAGGCCACCGGAAGGCAAGAGCTTCGTCGGGACTGTGGTCCCCGTCCTGGGCCAGCTGGCCTCCTGCTGGCCTCCGGGACCGCTGCCGCCACCGTCTGCGCGGGCGCTCGGGCCAGAGGCCCCCGGCTCGGGCCAGCGGGGCCCAGCGTGTGGCCCCCCCCGGCAGCTGCTTATGCACTCCTCCTCAGAGGCAAAGTTATTGCCATTGCCGTGGCACCCGCCGTACCAGAAGCGGTTACACTGGCCCACAGAGGGGACGAAGTACCAGCGGGCGGCCCAGTCCGCGCAGGAGCCGTGGGCGCTGGGCAGCAGGCACCGCACAGGGTAGGCTGAGGGGACAGGGAGGGTGCGTGTCATCAAGCCGAGGACGCTGCCCAGCAGAGCCCTGCCAACAAGGGCCCACCATCCCCTCCGCCTCGGACTTAGGAGCCAGGCCCTTCCCAGCTCACGGAGCATGTCTACACCCCTGCCCAGACCCCTGACCTGGCCCTGGGGGCAGAGTCTGCTCCCTGCCCAGACCTACCTCGGCTCCACCCACAGAACTACAGCCCTCCAGAAGGTCAGGGCCATGAGCAACCTAGACTGGCCCCCTCATGCCCCTCCCCTCCCCATGCCTGACCCAGGTCCCGAGAGTGCATGCACAGAGCAGCCCAAGGGCTTGGCTCATAAGAACCCAGCCCTCGGCTCCCAGGAACATCTGTGAAGGTGCCCAGTGAGGGCCCCACCTTTTGTTCCCAGGAACCCTCACCAGTCTCGAGCCCACCTGCAGCTGCCCCCAGCCTGCCTGTTCCAACCGCCCACCTCCCCAGCACGGCCGCTCTACCTCTCTGCGTGAACGTGGCTGGCCCCTGCTTAAAGCCCCTCCAGGGTCCCAGCCTCCTGCAGACCTTGACCACTAGCCCATCTGGCTTTTGAGGTCCCCGTGATAGTCCCTGGCAGTGCCGCCCACACATGCTCCGGCCTCGGCGACCTCCCTCCAGGACTCATCCCAGGCAAGGTGGGGACACCCCTGTCCATCCTGGCACCGACCACCATTCCATCTCTGCCTCTAGAGGGTGCTGAGCCCTGGGGGGGTGGGGGGCAGGACAAGCCCTCCTTCTCTGTGGGGACCCTGCCCCAGCTCTCCCTGCCTCCCACAAGCGGGCAGGTGGTCTCAAGGGCAAACTGCTGGGAACGAGAACAACATGGCCCCATCCTCGGACCTGGTGCCTAGTAAGTGAACAGTAAACATCTGAAGAAATGAATGAATCACTGAGCTAGTAGGAAGCTCCAGGTGGGGGCTCGGTGGAGGTGGGGGGGGCAAAGGGGGGCCGGAGCCCACTCACCAGGAAGCGTGCCAGGACACCCACTCACCGTAGCCGGGCTGGCCCCCGCAGCCTTCCCCAAGAGGGCCAGCCGCAGAGACCACCCCGTCATAGCAGCAGCCGAACTGGGAGCCCCGGCACTCAGGGGGCTCGTTCTGCTGAGCCTGGGGCCGGTGGGCCGTGGGAGCCTGGGTAAGGAGGACAGAAAGAGGGAGGGGTAGGGTTAGGAGCCCATGATGCAGAACCCCAGCCCCAGGGGAGCTCAGAGGCCTGGGGAAGGTCAGACGAAGCCCCCTGCACACGTCACCCCGTCTCCAGCCCAGGCCTGTCTCAGACGCCCTGTGGGCCAGCAGCCGGCAGAGACCTCCTTTCTCCCAAGCCCAAGTTACAAAGAGCCTGAGTCACAGTGGCGCTGAGCAGGCTCGGGGGCTGGATTCCCACCCCCCCGCCCCCGTGTGACCGACACTTACCGAGGAAGCCACTGCTCTTGACCCCAGTCTTCGCCTGGCGTTGTCACTGCTGTAAGACCCTGCGCAGCCGGCGTGCTGGGGCCCCTCAGCCACAGACACCCCGTCGGGGCAGCACCCGTACCTAGACAGGCATCACCCCGCTGTCTGCTCACCACCCAGCCCTGATGCCCGACCCCCCCCCAGCATCCCGGGACCCAGGCTCTGAGGCTGCCCGTGCTGGGGGCCGAGCAGCTGAGGACCCACGTGGGAGACAGCGTGTCCCCGCACCCGGGCCCGACCGTTCCACGTGCCGAGGCTCTGCCACGTCCCATAACCGCCCGGCAGCTGCCATGGAGGCAGCAGAAACCCAGCAGGCAGAGCTGCCGCCCTGATACCTGACGGATCCTCAACTCCTCCCCACCCCCGAAACCAAGGTGGAGACTCACTGAACCTGCCCACATTGCGGGTCCCCAGGGAGGCTTTACAAAATCACAGCTCCACCGGCCAGGAGTGGGGAAGGAGGGTGAAGGAAGAACGCATCAGAGCACCTTCCATGCCCCAGGCACCATGGGACTGTTCCGTCCTCACAGCAACCCCAGCCGGGGGCTGTCACAGTTCCCATATCTCAGCAGAGGAAGCCAAGATCAGAGAAGTTAAGGAACTTGCCCCCATCACCCAGCATGCGGCTGGTAAGTGACTGAGCTGGGAATCCTGCCCAGCTCCCAGGCTGCTGGCCCCAAAGTCTGGGCTCTGAGCATCCCAGCCCCAGAGAGACTGGCAGACTGGTTTGGATCTGAAAGCTAGAATGATATCACACGTGCCTTCCCAGAGCCTCAGGCTACACCTCCACAGGCCGACTTCTGTAGCAAGAGTGGAGATTTTTACCCCCACCCTGCACATTAGGAAGATCAGCGACAAGAAGCAGAGTCCCCAGGATGGCACAAGCGGGGAAGCCCGAAGACACTTCCAGAGTCCCAGTCCTGAGCTCTGCAAACCCCACCTCCACCCCCTCCCTGTGCAGAGTCGTGGCCCTGCCCATCAGATACCACTCCCCCCCCGCCCCCGCACAACACACACACTTTTTCCTCTCTGACCTGGTAAAGAAGAGGCCCCTACCTGCTCTGCTGACATGAGGTTCCAGGGCAGCCCTGCCACTGCGGCCCAAGAGATGTGGTGTGGCCATCAGGACAGCACCCATAGGGGCTCTGTCTGCAGTCTTGGGGTGCCAAGCCAGACCGCAGGGGCTGCCAGTGTGGGGACTGTGGCAGAGGGGGGGCTAGGCCTGGCAGGTGAAGGCCCTGGGCTCCTCTGGGATTACCCTGGACTGAGGGTTGCTCCTGGGGGAGCCACCACTGGTCTCTGGAACCTAGAAAGAAGGAAAAGATACCAGCGGTCTCCACCTGGCTGCTCACCTCCATCTGTCCAGACCTACCTTCTCCATCGCCCCTAAACCACCTGCCCCACCTTCAACCTCCATCTCCTGGGCTCTGGGTTGGGGGCTTCCACTGAGCTTCTCACCTGAGGTGGGGGCCGCCCGAGGGCCCAAAGACATCCGGGGATCCCTGGAGCTGACGTGCACGTCCTGCATGCTGGGGACTTCTGCAGGGAGCAGAGAGTCAGGCCTGAGCAGTGGCCACCCTAATCACCATGTGCTCCCACCCCACTGCTCAGGCAAGGCCTGGGGCACCCAGGACAGTCGAAGTGAAAATGAGCAGACCTGTGATTTCATAAAACACCCTTCCCATGTTTCAAGAGTCTTTAGTCACGGGCGCCTGGGTGGCTCAGTTGGTTAAGCGACTGCCTTCGGCTCAGGTCATGATCCCAGAGTCCCGGGATCAAGTCCCGTATCGGGCTCCCTGCTCAGCGGGGAGCCTGCTTCTCCCTCTGACCCTACCCCCTCTCATGTACTCTCTCTCTCTCATTCTCACTCTCTCAAATAAATAAATCTTAAAAAAAAAAAAAAGTCTTTAGTCACTTAGAAAAAGCTAATGTTACATGTTCAGCAAAAAGAAAAGCCAGATATAAAATTAGTATCTATGTTTGATCCCAACTAGACTGAACTGACGAAAAGACAAACAATCCAATTAAAAAATGGGCGAAGTGGGGCACCTGGCTGGCTCAGTTGATAGAGCACATGACTCTTGATCTTGGGGTCATGAGTTTGAGCCCCAAGTTGGGTGCAGAGATTATTTTTAAATCTTAAAAAAGAAATTAAAAAAAAATTGGGCAAAGAACCTGAACAGTTCTCCAAAGAAAATATACAAAGGGCCAACAAGCACATGAAAAGATGCTCACCATCATCACTCATTAGGGAAATGCAAATCAAAGCCACAAGGAGCTATTCCTTCACACCCACTAAGAGGGCTCTAATCAAAAAGGCTGAAATAGTAAGTGCTGGTGAGGATGTGGACAAACTGGAAGCCTCATGCATTGCAGATGGAAATGTAAATTGGTACAGCCACCGTGGAAACAGTTTGGCAACTCCTCCAAAAGTTAAACAGAGTCCTCATAGAGCCCAGCAATTCCACTCCTACGTATGTACCCAAAAGAAATGAAAACACAGGTCAACACAGAAACTCGTACATGAGCGTTTATAGCAGTTGTATTCATTAGAGCCAAAAGCTGGAAACAACCCAAATACGTATGAACTGATGAAAGAATAAGCAGGTTGTGGTTTACCCATAGAATTGCTAACAGCCATAAAAAGGACGAAGTGCCGATGTATCCAGGCTCCAGCCCAGATGAACCTCAACAGCACTCTGCCGGGTGAAAGAGGTGGGCGCGAAAGCTATACTACCCCCTTTTACATGGTATTTCCAGGATAGGCCAACCTGACAAGACAGAGGGCAGATCCGGTTACCAAGGAAAGAGGTTAGGGATAATGGGGAGTGATCAGTTAATGCGTACAGGGAGCTTTTATGGGTGATGAAATATGGTTTGTACAACATCGTGAGTATACAAAATAACACCAAAGCATTCACTTTACCATGGTTAACTGTATGTTTTGTGAACTGCACCTCAAGAAAAAAATTCCATATTAAAAACTGGATCGTTTTAAACACACACACACACACACACACACACACACACACACATACACACACACACATTTGAATGATAGATGAAGGAACAAAAGGAGTAGATCATGAAAAAGCGCGTATAACTAAACAGTCATTATAGAATTTAGGTGTGGATACATGGATGCTTACTATGCAGTTCTTCAACTACTTCAAACAACTATGTTTAAAGTTTTTCACCATTCTTCCTCAAAAAATTAAAAGTAGAATTACCATGTAACACAGTAATTCCACTACTATTTACCCAAAGAATACAAAAACACTAATTCAAAAAAATATACGTACCCATCTATAGCAGCATTTATAATGTCAAAATATAGAAGCAACCTAAGTGTCTATCCAGATGAATGGATAAAGACGAAGTCACACACACACACACACACACACACACACACACAGCTAGAATATTACTCAGCCAAAAAGAATGAAATCTCATCACTTGCAACAACATGGATGGATATAGAGGGTATCATGCTAAGCAAAATAAGTCAGAGAAAGACAAACACTGAATGATTTCACTCATATGTGGAATTTAAGAAACAAAACCAACAGAGAAAAGAAAGACAAACAAAAAACCAGGCTCTTAGCTACAGAGAACACACGGATGGTTACCGGAGGGGAGGTTGCGGGGGGCATGGGTAAACAGGATTAAGAGGGCACTTATCATGATGAGAACTGAGTACAGAATTGCTGAATCACTATGTTGTATACCTAAAACTAGTATAACGTTGTATATTAACTGTAGTGGAATTAAACAAATAAATAAGCAGGCCTGTCTTCCCAGCATGGGGATCTGATTAGGGGCTGCTCAGAAACAGGAAAAAAAAATTTTCACCATTTCATTGTCCAACTTGGTAAACTTACTAAAAATCATCAATTACTGTTTGAGTGAATTTTATGGTATATGATATTTAACCACTTCAAAGTTACTAAAAAGATTTTTCATCATAAAATGGAGAAAAAAATGCAAAAGACTAAATTTAAACTTACTAAAAAGAGTAAATATGGATGACATGTAATTTTTGTAATGATGCATAATAGGACATGCCCCAAAATGCTCATGGTTCCAAGCACCCGGATTGGGGGGGAGGGCAGCAGGTAGGGGGGGTCCCCTCCTTCTATTTGTTGGTGCATTTCAAATTTTCCACAGTAAGCATACTACTACATAATGGAGTAAAGTTATATAAAAGAAGTGAAGGGGCACCTGGGTGGCTCAGTTGGTTAAGCATCTGCTGTCAGCTCAGGTCATGATCCCAGAGTCCTGGGATCTGGGATTGGGCTCCCTGCTTCTCCCCCTCCCTCTGCTCCCCTCCACCCTGCTCTCACGTGCTCTCTCAAATAAATCAAATCTTAAAGAAAAAAAAAAGTGAAAATTCCATCCCCCTCTGGACTACATCTTGCCAGTCCCCAGAAAATATTTTAAAAATAATTTAGGATTGGAAAAGTCTAGTAGATATGCAGTAAAATCTTTACTTTCATTTCACTGCCTATCCCGCCCAGGCCAAGCCCTGGGACGAGGCAGATGCACATTCTCTCCCCAGTTCCACCATCTCCTGCCCACACCTCCCATCTCCAGCGCTGCAGTCCCAGGCCCCAGCCAGCCTGGGAATAGGTCCCTAGCTTCTTCTCTTCCACCTTCCCAGGCTTCAAGTGCAGCACCGCTTCCTGCGCACCCTCTGGGCACCAGGCTCTGCTGGGCAAGTGCCTGGCCCTTTGTTTTCACAACTCTTGCTGGCCCTTGGATTTCCACAGCCTGCTCCCCACCAGGCTCCCACTCCAACCGGCTCCACTTCAGTCTGGTCCTCAGGCAGGCGCCATGCCTGTCCTCCTCAAGACCTTTCATGGTATCACTGTTGAGCTCCAAAGCTTTCAGTGGCTCCCCTGGGCCTATTAGACAAATTTAATCTGCAGCCCAGCCTGAGGTCCCCAGCCCTAAGAGCACCAGCCCCTGGACAGACCTCCTGCCACCACCCCCACGTCCTTGGCCAAGGGCAGGTTCTGGGGCCCCTGCTGGCCTTAGAGCTACTGAGTACTTGAGATGTGACCAGAGTGACTGAGAAACTACATTTTACATTTATTCTAATCAGAATTAACTTAATTTTAAAGTGACACTTGATTCATTTATTAGAAAATGCTTCAGTGTGTTTGGAACAATTTGGTGTGTGAATCTACTTTTCCAACTGCACATTCTATAAAATCTAAATATAGATCAAGTATGCCAGTGAAATTTTGCATCTGAATTAAGAAATGCCATGTGAGGGTGCCTGGGTGGCTCAGTTGGTTAAGCGACTGCCTTCGGCTCAGGTCATGATCCTGGAGTCCCGGGATCGAGTCCCACATCGGGCTCCCTGCTCAGCAGGGAGTCTGCTTCTCCCTCTGACCCTCTTCCCTCTCGTGCTCTCTATCTCTCATTCTCTCTCTCAAATAAATAAAATCTTAAAAAAAAAAAGAGAGAAAACCTTTTAAAAAAAAAAAAGAAATGCCATGTGAACAATAAATACATTGGTTTTGGAAGATTTATTTTTTTAATCTTGTGAAAAAAATGTAAAATATCCTATTCATAATTCTTATACTGATTACATATTAAAAATATTTAATTGGATTATATAAAACATTTAAGTAAAAAAAATTTTAGGGGTACCTGGGTGGCTCAGTCAGTTAAGTGACAAACTTGATTTTGGCTTAGGTCATGATCCCAGGGTCCTGGGATCAAGCCCTGCATACAGCTCTCTGCTCAGCAGGGAGTCTGCTTGTCGCCCTCTCCCTCCGCCCCTCCCCCACTGGCCTTTTTTTCTCTCTCTCTCTCTCAAATAAATAAATAAATCTTCCTAAAACAAATTTTCTTAAGCAATCTCTACACCCAACATGGGGCTCAAATTCACAACCCCAAGATCAAGAGTCGCATGCTCTTCTGACTGAAGCAGCCAGGTGTTCCTTAAATGTAATTCTTTTTTTTTTTTTTTTTTTTTACGTAGGCTCCACACCCAGCATGGAGCCCAATGCCGGGCCTGGACTCAGGACCCTGAAGCTGAGATCAAGAGTCAGATGCTTAACCGACTGAGCCACCCAAGCGCCCTAAAACCACCTAAATTCTAACTTCCTGCCCATCATGGACTTCTGTAGAGAAATCATGAGGCTGAAAAATGTTCACACACTAGGGGTGCCTGGGTGGCTCAGTCGTTAAGCGTCTGCCTTTGGCTCAGGTCATGATCCGAGGGTCCTGGGATCGAGCCCCGCATCGGGCTCCCTGCTCAGCAGGAAGCCTGCTTCTCCCTCTCTCTCTGCCCCTGCTTGTGTTCCCTCTCTCGATGTCTCTCTAATAAATAAATAAAATATTAAAAAAAAAAAGTTCACACACTAAGTGGCTCTAACAGGGAAAAGCGCACAGAGAATCCGGCATATGTGACAAAGCACACTAAGGACTTGATCCCACTAAAGCATGGGATCAGGGCAATTTCCATTTCTATGTTGCTTTCCTAATTTCTCCAAATTTTCCACAATGAACATAGATTATTTTATAAAAGTAGCCATTAAGGTTTTTTCTTTTACAATTCAGCCTGGCCTGAAATGCTTTGTTTCTTCCCTTGCTACCTATGTGAATGCCTCTCTGGGGGCAGGCTCAGGGCCACCTCTTCCAGGAAGGCATCCATGGCTCCAGGAGGAACCTTCTGCTCGTGCCCCACAAGGGCCAGGCCAGGCTGAGGCACCCCAGGAGCCTGACCCCGGGGCCCCCACATGGTCTCACCACCACCACTCCCGACCCTTTGCTTACCAAGCTCTGTGTGTTCAGACACAGTGCCAAGTGACTCACCGTAAGAAAAGCACTCTTATTAACCCCATTGTACAGATGGGCAAATCGACAATCAGGGAGGAGAGGCGCTTGCCCGGGGCCACACCGCTGGTCAGCAATGAAGTAGAGATTTCAACTTAGGCTCGCTGTCAAGTTCAGGCCACTGGTTCTTAGCCACCATGCCCCATGCCTCCTTTGGAACTCTACCATCCTGGTTCATGGGGCCCCCAGCACTAGCACGTCTGGGCCAGACACACCTCCCTGCAGTAGCAGAAGGCCACCATCCACCCCCCTCAGCTGAGCCCCAACCCACGTTCTTCCTCAATATCACATCCTCACACCAAGCAAGTACTGGCCCTGGGCCCTTCATCCTGCAGCTCCTCAGGCCTGGGACGTCTTCTTTGCCAGTGGCGATGGGGGTGAGGAGAAGGGAAAGACAAGGGCAGGAGCAGTGTGTACTCACTCAGTCACTCAATAAACATTTACCGAATACCCAGCTCGTGCTAAGTTCGGGGGGGGGGGCGCGGGTATAAAGAGCAAGGAGGAAGTCAGGGACCTGGCCCTCAAGGAGCTCCTAGCTAGTAGGCCTGACAAGCCGCACACAATCGCTGGGGCCCGAGGAAACCAACCCGAGACGGGCGGCCGGTATGTGGGCTCCGGGGGTGCGAGAAGGATGCTGCCTCTGCTGGGCAAACAGGCTGGCCCATGAGGCAGCACAGACGGGCACTCTGCTGAGGGAGCACTGCTGGGGGCAGACGGCCCTGGTGCAGGGGAGACAGCTGGGGCCCACACGGCCTCTCCCCCTTGCACCCGCACCCCCATCCTTACCTGGAGGAAGATGGCAGGGCTGTGAGTTACAGGGCTCAACCTCCCCGGGCTTGGACAGCTGCAGGCTCCCGCAGTGGCTGGCCGGCCCGAGGGCACAGAGGACCTGGCGCCTCCGAGTCCCCCCGCTGCAGCTCTTGGAACACTGGGGCCCACAGGGTGGGCGTGGGAAGAGAGAACAGGCTCACAAAAGGAGAGAGACCCCGAGGCTGGGGGTCCCCACAAGGAAGAGAGGTAGGGGGAAGGTGCCTGGTGAGGCAGGTCAGACCCAGGGACGGGCACATGTCCAGCCACCTGCCAGAGACCCAAGGGACCAAGACTGGGCATGAGGGGGGAAGTGGGCAAGCACTCACTAGGCCCCAGGCGCCCACATGCCAGGCCTGGTCATGGATGGGGGGGCAGTCTTCACGCACGCAGGGTTCAGTGACAGGGGGGCGGTCCTCCGAGGAGCACGCTGTAGCATGGAGCAGAGACCCCTCATCACTCTGGCAAGTGACGCTCCGCCTCCGGACGCCAGCACCGCAGCTGACAGAGCACTGTAAGGAGCAGGCAGTCGGCGGGAGCTTGTCCTCGCCCGGAGGAGCCATGCCAGGTCAGACAGCTGGAGGCCGCCCCGCCTGGCAGGGAGGGTGGACGGCTCCTTACGGCCCATGCCCAGCTCCCAGGCTCAGAGAGGCTGAGCCGCTCCTCTGAGGTCACGTAGCCTACACCACGCCTGCTGACACCAAGCTTAGGGACATTTTACACATTCCCTTGTTCGAGACTTGAACATATGTAGGTGCTGGATGCAGTGACCAGCAGCCCCAGTCAGGGCTAGCTGCTCCCTCATCCCCAAAGCAAGGCGGCCGGCTGCTCCTTCATGCCAAGACAAAGCCTTTCCCGCCCCGCCTGGGATCCTGGCAGAGGAGGAGGAGTCCAAACACCTGCTCCTAGTCCCAGCCTCCACAGTGGCTTCCAAGACGACCTAGCAGGTCACTTTACCTCCCAGGATCTGTTTCCTCCGGTGGAGGCCAAGCTTCCCAGCCCAGCTCTGCTGAGACCCCAGCCCCTAGGCCCAGTGCCTGATTCTGTCCCCACCCTGCCCCAGCCCCATGGGGCAGAGGCCTCACCTCTCCCCAAGGCTCTGCCCTCCAGGCTGCACAGCGCTGCAGGTGGCAAGCCCGCGTGGTGGGGGGCTTCCCAGGCAGGCCTGCACACTCCGCCTCCTCGGCGGCCTCCTGGACGCCAGCCCCATCAGACGAGACGCAGTAGACAGAGCGGGACTGGGAGCCACCGCCACAGGAGGCCGAGCAGGGCGACCAGGGCCCCGTCTTCCAGCTGGCAGGGAGCAGGGATCTGGTGAGGCCAGCCCAGCAGCAGGGCCGGAGTCCAGGGAGCACCAACTGTCACACACAGGAGCGGACTAGGGACCCCCCAACCTGGCCCATCCTAACATCTGGGCCTGTACGGGTGGGGGGGGGGCGGAAAGCTTTGCATAAAAGGCCAAGCCCACCCCCCCCACACCCCGCTCTGCTTGCCATCTCTCACCACCGAGCACTGGTCCCTACAACACAGAGCCTGGCTGCCCGCCCCCCTTAGCCTTCCTGTCCTCACCTGTATCCCCTGTTCTCACCAGGTCCCCTGTCAGCCCCAGCCAGACTCCATTGCCTCTGTCTCTGACCTGAGTTGGGGGCATCTCCCAGAGGGGCCATGCTCACCCACGTGTGGAGTGGCCCTGAGGCACCGGAGGAAAGGGCAGCCCCAGCTGCACCATGCAAAGCCAAGCCCACCACCATCCTGCAAGGCCAGATGCCACCAAGGCCATGAGGGCGGAAGGACGGCTCCAGCCGGGCAGGGAGCCTGCGGCCTGCAGATTACCTGTTCCTGCACACACGCTGGGCCCCAGCAAGGTGCCACGCTCTGGGCCGGTGCAGGTAAGAGGTCCTTCGTGTGGGAACAAAGGCATTGCTGATGCCCACAGGCCCCCTGGCCCAGTCCCTGGCCCACTTCCTGGCATCTGTCACGCCAAGTCCCCTGCCGGCTTGGACAGGGCCTCCAGTACCTTCCCCCTCACTCCCACTATCAGCCTGGACGCTCTGGACACTGAGTGGGCACACACAGGTGGACAGAATAGCCCCGGATCTCCCGCTCATGCCCCCCACCCCGCTGCTTCCCCCCATTACAGCTGCCTCCTCCCCACTCCACCACAGCTGTAGGGAGCCCTGGACACCCACCCATTTGCTCAACACCTAGAGTAGCCCAGAGACCCCACTGCCTTCCCACCCAAGGGCTTGGGCCCCACCATGGCGGGAGGGGCTGGCAAGGGCCTTACCGCTTGGTCTGCGGGCAGGGGTGAGTGCTGCAGGGGCGGCGGTCAGCCGGCCGCAACTGATGCTGGCACATGTGGTCAGGGTATACCTCGTCATCAGTGGTGCAGAACACCGGGCGGGCCTGGTGACCTGCAGAGGCCCGGCCATCGAGGGCAGGTGGTCAGTCAGCAGTCACCAAATGCATTCTCTGGGCTGGGCCCCATTCTGCACACATCTCAAGTGTGGTCTTGATTAAGCCTCAGATGACCCCCTGGGATCAGTGCCATCATCAACCCCAATTCACAGAGGAGGAAACTGAGGCTTGAGGGGTGTTATCTGAGGGTGCTGGAGCCCTGCTCTGACACCTGGTCACCCGCTGGGCTGGGCCTCTGCTGCCCATGAAGGGCCGTCTCCTCCGGGATTCCGCCACCTCGGGGAAGCCTCTGGGTTCTCTTAGCTTCAGAGTTGGGTAAGGAGGACCCTTCATGGAGTCCCCGAGCCCTGCGGTTTCCCCACGTGATCCCCACGACATGCAAATGGCTCACCTCCACCGCATTCGGCACTGCAGTCACTCCACGAGCCGTGGCTCCAGCGGAAGCCGGGCCGGGGGCTGCCCAGGGCCAGGTGGTACTCGTAGTGCACGCCAGGGTTGGGCTCCTGGCTGAGGAGCTGTGCGGGAGGGTCCTCGCTGAGACCTACCCCCCTCCCAGGGGGACCCTCCCCTCTCGGCCTCCAGGGCACCGGAGGACCGGGCGCCTCCCCCCACCCCCCGCCGCCGCCCACCGGCCCCTCACCTCGATGACCAGGGGCTCAGAGGTGGGGCCACGAGCGAGGAGCCGCTCAGGCGCCAGGTCCCCCTCGGCCCCGCGCTCGTAGTGCAGGACGGTGCTGGCCGCGGGCAGGGCCCAGGCGCCCCCGATGGTCCAGTGACCGTTGAGGTAGTATTCGCCGCGCACGCTCTTCACCGCTGCACAGGGGTGAGACACTGGGTGAGCTGCCGCAGAGGGACCCGCCGCCCCGCCACGGCCCAGACTCGCCCCAGACCGCACTCACCCAAGAAATTCCTGCTGGCCGCCGCCTCCTCCACGCGGATGCTGGTGGCCCCCGTGGGAATTATGAGGATCTGGTTGTAGCCTGCAGGGGCAGAGATGCTCTGGGACCACCCACGCCCCTCGCAACACAGCCGGGATCAGGGACTGGCAAGCGGAACCCGGCAGGGCTGTGCCGCTCGGGGGCTCAGGGCAGAGTCCTCCAGAAGGGGGAAGCAGCTTTAGGAAGGGTGGGCAGGCTGGGGCACCCGAACTGACTGGGAAGTGGGGGGACAGCTGGGGACCCACGGGAAGGGGCGAGGAGAGGCATCCAGCCGACAGCAGGGTGCGCTTACACCAGGTAAATGGGCAGAGGTCCTTACGAGCCTAAGCCCACAGGCTCTGTGACCTGAGTGCCAGATCAGACCCCCTCAGGGCCACCAGGGTGACTCAGCTGGAACAGAAGTCAGGCAAGGAAGGGACAGGTGACAGACCCTCCCCTCAACTGCCTGTGCCTCCGCCCAGGACTCCCACCTCTGCTGAGGTCATTGGCATCAAAGGTGCCCGTGACGGGGTAGCAGGTCGTGCCGTCACCCCCACACTGCAGACACTTGTCCTCCTCCTTTGAGGAGTCGAGGTTGTGGTCACAGCCGACGACCTACCGGGCAGAGATGAGGAGAAGAGACAGCAGAGGGCGTCACAGACGCGCCAGGATTCGAACCCAGGTTGCCGCTCCAATCAGGGAGGGGCAGTAGCTATTCATCAGCCACTGAGGCCGGTGAACACTGCATCTGGCCCGCCACGGACAGTCTACGCCTTCCACCGGCTCAGCCCGTCTCCCCTTCTCTACCAACAATGCCTCATCTTCCTTTGGGGGCCTCCTCTCTCCCAGTTTGGACAGAGCTCCCCAACAGTGAGTGTGGGCAAGTCAGTGGGTTCCACGCTCTGCTCCAAGAGAGTGGTTCACGGGAAGCCCCCAGCCAAGACAAAGCCGAGGCAACCCCGGGTCGCTGGGACTCCTGGGAAGTGGGCTTCCTTTCCAGCCAGAGCTGGGAGCTGCTGGTGGCCATCTGCACACCTCACAGGATCCCAGTGCCGACCCAGAGGAGAGTAAAGCCCAGAGGGGAGGAGACATTTCCAGCCCCTTGCAGCCAGCCAGCCCACCCCTCGATGGCTTAGTGGGGTTTCTGTAACTTGCCACCCAGAGGGTTGCTCCTATAGTGGTGCCAGTTTCCAAAGGGCAAAGGGAAGAAGGAAGCAGGGCATCTGTGATGCAAAGACACCTAAAAGCTGGTCATGAGAAGACATCAAGCTCAGCAGAGCCACTGGCCGTGCTGGTGCAGGGTAGGGAAACATCCGGCAATAAGCCCCAGGCCAGCCCCCAGGTGGGCAGGGTGGGCAGGATCACCACTCACCCGGCAGCTGCCATCCACACAGACATCCCGGGTGCCAGGCTCACAGGGCGTCCCGTCCACAACAGCCTCCCTGTGCTTGAAGTAGAAGTTCTCCCCCTTGGGAATGCAGTTCAGTTCGCACTTGTTCGGGGCTGAGGCAGACAAAGGGGGAAAGCTGAGATCCCAAGCAAGCTGCAAGTCGTATCCTGGGCACAATGAAGCATGGGCGGGGGCCAGAAGCACACAAGTGGGGGGGGAGGGGGGACAGAAAGTCCTTGCATCGGCTCTCCCAGGTGGCTCAGAATCCCACCCCACCCCACCCCCCATGGGAAGCAACCATTCACAAAACTGTGGCCTCTCTGGGGATCAAGTGGATGAAAAATCCCAGGATAGGGAAGAAGCTAGCCCCTTGGAGAGGTCTATCTCAGCCTTATAAATAAGCCCGTGTGTTAACAATCAGTTCCTCTGAGTCAGTTATTAACAGACCACTATGCACGTGGGCTATGCTGTAAAGTACAGGGACTAGACAGTAACATGGGGAGACGCTTCTCCCACACAGTGCAGAATGGGGCTATGGAATAATCACAAATATGTAAGTGTGGATAGAGAAAATAATGTGAAAAGGGCTAGACTGGAATACTAGACCAAATCCTATGAAAGGTGTGGGGTCAAGGTCATTTAGGGGTTTAAATTTTTATAGCCATCTAAATATTATATACACATTGTTTAAACAGCCAAAAGTGCTAACAGGAGTGCAGTCACCTCCACCACAGAGAAGGCATCGATCTGTGACCCTTTCCTCTGTGTTCTGGTTTTTCTCTATGGATATATTTAGGGTACCTGGGTGGTGCAGTTGGTTGAGCATCCGACTCTTGATTTCAGCTCAGGTCGTGATCTCAGGTTGTGGGATCAAGCCTCACATCGGGCTCCACACTGGGCGTGGAGTCTGCTTGGGATTCTCCCTCTCCCTCTCCCCACACACAAGCATGCATGCTCTCTCAAATCTTTTTTAAAAAATATATGGATATATTTAAATTATCCAGGAGGAGCAATGAATGCCAACAGACTCCCCTGGGGTCACCCCTCTAGCCAAGACCGTGTTCCCCATCCAATAGCACACACAGGATATAAATGTTCATTGATTTGGAAGCCAGAGCGCCATACTATCCAGGAGTCATTTGCAATGAGCAGTGACTACTAATACTCAGAAGGGGTAGCCTAAGGAATCTTCTGACTCATCTAAAATGCTTTAGTTATACACAAGTGATTTTTTCTTAAACTAGATTTCTCTAAAAATTAACCACCCTCCTCAAAGTCACTCAGAGCAAGCCCTTGGGCCCCAGAGATCCTGAGTAAATGGACCCTTGCCATACCAAGCCCCTTGCAGCCCCGACCTGCAGTTGGCCCAAACTTGGCCCGGCCCTACCAGTGCCCCTCCTCCCCATGGCCCCTGCACATCATGAGGACCTCTGTGCACCATGAGGAATGCTTCCGGAGCAGGCCAAAAGAGCAGGGCTCAAAATGGCACAGACATGGCCTGGTGGCTTTGTTTGAGAATGTATAGAGGGAAAGAAGGATGGAGAGACCTCAAAATGACCACCCCCCCTCACCCCGTTATATTACGATGAGCACCTGCTGGGAGTCCTGTGAGATTTTAAAATGCATTTGACAGAGCATCTATAATACGGTGTAAGCGTTGTGCAATGGAAAATCAACATACAGAAGAGATCCGAATGGGTGGGGCTCAGCACAGGACAAGGCAGGGTGCAGCAGCAGGGCTGCGGGCGCTGGGACCTCCACTCACCTCCATAGTAGGGCAGCCACTTGTACCGCCTTCCCTGGAAGTCCTGGCCGTCAAACTGGGAACACTGCTCAGCCCGGAAGTCCCTGGTGCCCGCAGGGCAGCTCTGCGGGGGGCCAGCGGGAAAGGGAGGGACAGGTGGGGCCTCCACCTGCCCCATTGCGCCTGGGGAGGTCTGTCCCATCCCCACCAACAGCTTCCCCCTCACCCCAGCAGCTCAGGACAGGGGTGTGGGCCCCGAGGGCTCTTGAGCTCTCCCCTGCAGGGGCTTTGGGCTCCTTGAGGGGAGGCTGTCATTCTGGGTGGGAAGTGAGGAAGGTAGGGGGTGCACCTGCGGGAGGATGCCCCGGGGACTGGGAGGTCAGGAAGGTAGGGGGTCCCAGAAGCTGGCGTCCCCACCCTGCGGGCTTTACCTCTGTGTGGCAAGAGCGGTGGCTCCGGGCGGGGCCCACGCAGCTGGAGCCCCCATCTCTCCTGAGGATGAGAGCACTGGGAGGACCCGAACCCCGCAAACCAACACCCCCTCCTCCTCCTAGGGCTCTCCTGCAGGCCACGCTGGGCAGAGGAGGGGTGGCCGCACACAGATCCGCTCAGGTAGGGATAATGAGCCCCGTGTTTACACTTGGAAAAGCCAGACTCAGAAGTCTATCCTGGAGTTCCTTTAACTCGGGGCTACCTTGCCTCTTAAAGCAAATCTCCAGAGAAGACCCAAACTCTGCCTTTGGAGATAAAATAAGATGTAATGTATACCCATCTGGTAAGGTCATTCTGCCATTTAAGGAGTATACGGTGGCTGGAGTAATAGCTCATGGTTCTTTTCCTCACACGAGGTTCCCCGGAATAGTGAGTTCAACCCATTGACAGGCAAAGGGTCACCACCCCCCTTGTTTTGTGCCCCACCCTCCTCTAGCACCTATCAGAGTGCAGGGCACACAGTAGGTGCTTAATACCTCACTTAAAGTGGGAGACGTCTATACTTAACAAAAAGGCCAAAGGGAGAGAAACTGCACAGGGTAGGCATTGAAGACTGTTCATTCGTTCACCAAGAATTTACTGCACCTGCCACATGCCAGACACAGCACTGGGAACTAGAGACTCGGGGGTGGGGAAGCAGGCACAGCTCTAGCTCTCCTGAAATAAGGCTGATTGTTGGAATCAGAGACTGGTGGGAAATGACTTGATACTCCATCCATGCTGCTCTCACAACAAACCCATGGTTCGGTGGGTTCTGCCAGGCCCAGGACCTGCTGTCCCTGACCAGCCTGCCCCCTGTCCTCTAACAAGCTGGCCCCGCCCAGCCTCCCCTACCTCTGGGAGAAGCAGGGGCGCTCCCGGAAGCTGATGCCCACTCCGCAGGTCCGGCTGCAGGGGCTCCAGGTGCCCCAGGGGCCCCAGGTGTCACTCTGTCGCCTCACCTTGGGAGCCTGGAGGAAAAGACACGCTCAGAAGCGTGAGTCAGCACTCAGAGCCCCCTCGGGCTCACCAGAGGGCCCCTGCCTAAAATCATTCCCCTCCCTCACCTTGGGAGCCTGGGATTCTCTCTACCAGAGCAAACACCAGGCGCCCCAAACACTCATTTACAGACTCAACCAGCTTTCAGCATGAGGAGCTGAGAGCCGCACAAACACGCCCTGGCCTCCTGTACCCAGCACCCGTGAGGCAGAGATCCACTTGTGGGGGGCAGGGGGTACGAGCGGGATCCCCTCCACACCGTCTCTCCCAGGAAAGAACGCACATTTGGCTTCAGCCACGGGCAGCACAGGCACGTTTTGTCCCTCCGTGATTCCCCAAACCGCGAGCTGGTGGTGTGGCGCCAGAATGAGCTCAGCCAGCCCGCCCTCCCGCTGGCTTGTCCGCACCTGCTCCTGCCGCCCTCCGCACCCAGCCCCTCCTCCTCCAACTCCCCGCACCCTGCAAGGCAACCTGGGGCCCTCTTTCCTGCTGTACTGTTCCCTGTGCGGGGGTGGGTGCGGGAAGGTGAGGCCGGGGTCGGCGGGCGGCTGCATCTGCCCTTCATTCCTCCCTCCCCGCTGTCAGCGCTCAGAGGGACCCTGCGGGGGCTCGGCCCCCAGCCAGAGCCAGCAAGAGGGGACAGCTGAGCCGTGGCGTGGGCGCAGGAGAGCTCACGGCCCCACCTGAGCTCACGTGCTGTGGGGAGGAGGGCGCCGGGAAAGGTTACTCAGCTGTTTCTACGGCAGAAAGCACCTAAGAGGACCCAGGGCAATTTGTACTCCTTGACTCATGCCACCTGCACAGTAACCTGGGGATGGGGATTACAACCCCCCAGTGAAAGGGAATCTCAGGCTTGTCAAGCTATGGTCAAGCAGCAGTTAGGGGGTGGCCCTGGGTTTCCTGCTGGGGTCCTGACACTGGCACCACGGCCCCTCCACCTGGGCACCAGGGAAAGCCTGTGCCAGGGACCTCAAGGACCACGGGGTGGCAGGGGTGACTGGGAAGCTGGCAGGTGATGGAGAGGACATGAGAAAGGGGGGCTCTAGCCCACCTGCTGCTCTGACTGTGGCTGGTGCTGGGTCAGTGGAGCTTTGAAGGCCTGCCCACCGAGCACCACTGATGTCCATCTCGGCCTGCCCCTGCAGCCCTTCTCATCCTTGACTCACACTCCACAGTGTGGCATCTCCCTTCCCTTCCCCAAGGACCGCCTGCCTCACAGAGGGGTGGGCAGGGCTGTGGGGCTCCCCCTGTGAAGAGCTCTCCAGGGGCAGGGTGGGACCCGGCTGCTTCTGTGCCCTCCATCCTGTCAATGCCAGGAGCAGCATCCAGGACAAAGCCCACCTCTATGGACCCTCCCCTCCGCAGAGGTGGGTCCTGCCTTCTAGAAGACTTCTTGTATAACCTCGGGATCCAGGTTTGTTCTCCAAGGAGCCCCATCTTTTGTGCCCCGTTAACAAAACAGCTACTCTGATCACCAGTTGGCTCCTGTGTCCACTCTCCAAATTTGCACTATAATGTGGTAACGGTTAGCTACATGTGGCTATTTAGGTTAATTAAAATCAAATCAAACACGTAATTCTTCAGTGGCAATAACCATGTTTCATGGACTCAGTGGCCGCAGAACCAAGTGTCTATCTTACTGGACAGCACAGTTTAGAACATTTTTTATCATCTCAGAAAGTTCTATTGGCCATCCCTGTTCTATCTAGAGCTAAATCCCCACGGCGGGGGGCACCTCTAAGCACAGTCAAGCTGAGGGGCAGCTCAACTGGGTCCCAGCCCATGATGGGATAGGCCATCTAGCCCTGCACTTTGGCTGGTGCCAGCACCGCCCCCTCTCTTTCCTTCCACCTTGGAAGGCCACCCCGGGGAGGGGGGTCCCAGCATTAGGGTGCACCCAGCACCTTCGGAAGGAGGTCGGCGGTGAGAAGTTGCCAGTCCTGCGCACTGCGTCCTGCAGTGGGGAGGGCAGCTCTGGGCCCCTTGGTCAGACCGCTTCAAGGCTGCACCCCTTTTTCTGAAAGAGCTGGCGGGGTCCCAGGGCTCGCCTTCTCCCACCAACTTCCCCTCGCCGCGGGGAGCGGGGGCTTCTCCCCCGCCTCGCTGTGCGGGGGGGGGGGGGCGAGCAGCGAGCAGGGCGGCACTCACCAAGGACCCGGGCGCCGGGGCCAGCAGCAGGGGCACGAACAGGAGCAGCCGCATCTCGGCCTGCGGGAGAAGCCGGAGTTGGAGAGGGCAGGGACCCGGGCTCGGTCCGCGGTCCTGCGGGCAGCGGCGCGTCCCCCCGTCCGCGTTGCCCACCCGTGACCTCAGAGCCGCAGAAGGGCGAGCGGGAACGCCGCGGGGCTCAGTGGGCCGCGGCGGCACTCACGTGGGGGAGAAAAGGCCCGCCTACTATTGGCTCCTAAAAGTTCAAGAGTACCTTCTTTCAGGATTTCAAAGGGGAAAAAAGAGGGCAATTAAAAATACTTGTTGTTGAAGGACAGGTTCAGAATCAAAGCAATCAGTCTCACGGGTTTTAATTTAGCAAAAGATTCGTTTTTTAAAAGCCATTATACCAGTTGTTTTTAAAACTTAATTTTTTTAGGGTGCCTGGGTGGCTCAGTTGATTAAGCGACTGCCATCACCTCGGGTCATGATCCTGGAATCCCGGGATCGAGTCCCGCATCGGGCTCCCTGCTCAGCAGGAAGTCTGTTTCTCCCTCTGACCCTCCCCCCCTCATGCTCTCTCTATCTCATTCCCTCTCTCAAATAAATAAATAAAATCTTTAAAAAATAACATTTTTTAAAGATTTTATTTATTTGATGGAGAGCGAGCGTGCACAAGCAGGGGGAGGCAGGCAGAGGGAGAGGGAGAAGCAGACTCCCCGCTGAGCAGGGTGGCTGATGCCGGGCTCGGTCCCAGGACCCCGAGATCATGACCTGAGCCGAAGGCAGACACTCAACTGACTGAGCCACCCAGGTGCCCGTTAATATATATATTTTTAAAGAAACTCTCGGAAGATGCATTTAAAACTCAAATGCTTTAAAAACGTCAATTGTATCCTACTTTAAACCCAAGCCAGCGTTTCTCTGCTCAAGAAAACTCCACAAGTCGATTCTGTAACCAGTGTGTGTGTGTGTGTGTGTGTGTGTGTGTGTGTACATGCAGTGTGGTGTCTGAGTGTGCAGGCTGTGGATGACTCTGCAGGAGGAATGTAGTGTGTGCACAGGTCCAAGGAGGTGTATGTAGCATGTGCGGGTACACAGTGTATGTGTGCAGTGCGGCGTGAGTGTGCAAGGATGGTGTGTGTGCAGTGTGCTGTTCTGGCTGTGCACAGCACGTGCATACATGCATGTGTGTACATGTCACTGTATTGGAGAATGACATAAGCAATATGCTCCTTCAGTACGAAACATTAAACAAGTACTGACTTGTACGTTTAAATTTAAAAATCTGTAATCTACCAATGTTATAAATTTTTTAAGTATAAAATGACTTCATTTTGCAAGGACAAAACAGCATACTAAGCCAAGTTCAGCAAATTTTAACCTGGCACATTTAGCGACGTACATGCTTCGTTAATTTAGCACAAACGGTGATTCATTTAGTCATTTTCACAGTCCAATCAGAGGTTCCTGGGGCTAGCAGGTGGGTGGGGAGTTGAGGGGGGTGCTGCCTCCTCTCCCACACGCCGCCACCCCCACCGACCTCTGCTCTGCGCCCGCAGCTCCTGTAAGGGCAGCGTGCGAGAGGGGAGACCCGCGTTTTAGGACCAATGACAAGATGAGCGACAAGGGATGCTTCTCTAAAGGAGACCGCCTTTAGGAACGGAGGCGAGCAGAGCCAAGGGAAAGACTGGAGAAAAGACTGTACTTATAATTGCTACTAGGTTCTACCACCACTGCTACAATTGCACTAGATCAAGACCCCCAGCTGCAATCCCGAAGTCCCGAAAGCCAGAAAGGTTATTTCAATTCACTTCGGAGAAAAACAGAAACCAGACACTGTCCAACTCCAGGGCCAGCCCTGGGTCTTGGGCACCCCCCCCGGACTACCCTGCGGGGTTCCCCCAGCGGCCCGAGGGTCCGGCCCGCTGCGCCCCCGGCCGGCAGTGTGCGTTCCTTTCACGTCGTGTCCCCGAGGAACGCGGCGGGGCCTGACCAGGGCCGAGGCAGCGGCCGGGGGGGCTCCGCGGCCGAGCAGGTCTGCGCCTCCTCGCGGGTGCTGGCCCCGGACCCGCGCTCGGGGTCCCTGAGCGCCCGGCGCCGCATCCCCGCACCGCCCCCGGCGGACACCCGGACGCCCGAGGCCGGCGCGAAGCCCTTCCCCGTCCGCCCCCTACTAAGGAATCTTCCCGGCTTCGGTCGCGAGGAGGCGCCCGCGGCCCGCACGCCCAGCTCGGGGACGGGCCCCACACCCCTCCAACCGCCCGGGAACGCGCCCGGTGCAGCCCCGGAAAGTGGAAAGGTGCGCTTCCCACGCGAGGCGCCGGGGCGACCCGGCACGTGCTTGCCTTGGTGGCACCTCGGAGCGGGGCGCGCTCGGTCTGCGGAGCCCGGTGCCCGGGCGGCGCGGGAACGGCGTCCCACCGAGGCGCGGTCCGAGGGGACAGGCGGCGTGGGCGCGGGGCCCGGGGTCGCGTCCGGCTGCCCAGCACGAGACGCCTCTCCTGCCCGCCGGTGACCTCCCAGCCCCGCGCGAGGGCGCGCGGTGGGGAGCGGTGACCTGGCGGACAGAGCCGGAGGCGGGGTCTCCCCGGGGATCCCCCACACTTCCTCCGGCGCGGCTCTGCCCGCGGGCCGGGCGGGGCCGTTCCTGCAGCAGCCCCGGGCCGAGCCGCCCCTGCCGCCGGGTCCCGGTCCCTCGGCTTTCCTACCTGTCTCCGGGCGCGCAGGACCCGCAGTGCCGCTCCGTCGGTGCCCGCCCTGGGAATGGGAGGCTGGCCTGGCGGCGCGGAACGCCTGCGGAGGTTGGACTTTCTCTCCCTGCCGCTGGCTGGCTGCCTCCCCACCCCAACTCCCCCCACCCGGCTCTGCAGACACCCATCCCCAATCCCAGTGGAGCGGCCCCCACAGTGGCCGGTGCTGCATCCCCTTGGGTCTGTGCCAGGGCTTGGCTTGCTCTCCACTCTGTGTTTCCTCTCTTGGGCGGGCACCAGTCACCACCCCGTCCCATTTCCTCTGTGCCTAAGTCACCCACCTTTTTTTTTTTTTAAAGATTTTATTTATTTGAGAGAGAGAGAATGAGAGACAGAGAGCACGAGAGGGAAGAGGGTCAGAGGGAGAAGCAGATTCCCCGCTGAGCAGGGAGCCCGATGCGGGACTCGATCCCGGGACTCCAGGATCATGACCTGAGCCGAAGGCAGTCGCTTAACCAACTGAGCCACCCAGCCGCGCAGTCACCCACCTTTGTATCATCCCCTCTCCATGCCCATCTTAACTCACAACACACCTCGGTGTCGGGCCCTCTGCTCCTCTAACACCCTGGAATTCTATACAGGGAGATCTCACTGTATTTGGCCTCCTGCGGTTGTTTTTTTTGGGATTTTGCGGGCTTTTTTGCGATTGGCTTTATTCCGCTTTGCAGATAAATTGCATCTTTTACAAACTGAAGGTTTGTGGCAACCCTGCGTGGAGCAAATCTGTCGGCATCCATTTTTCCAACAGCATTTGTTCACTTCGGGTCTCTGTCATATACTGATAATTCTTGCAATATTTCAAAATTTTTCATGGTGATCGGTGGTTATGATGCCCTGCAAGCTCAGATGATGGTTAGCATTTTTCAGCAGTGAAGTATTTTTTAATTCAAAAAATTGTCTTTTTAGGGGTGCTTGGCTGGCTCAGTGGGTAGAGTGTGGGACTCTTGATCTCAGGGGTTGTGAGTTTGAGCCCCACGTTGGGCATACAGTTTACTTTAAAAATCTTTTGGTTTTTTTAGACATGCTATCGCACATTTAATAGACTATGGTGTAGTGTAAACATAAGTTTTATATGCACTGGGAAACCAAAAAATTTATTTGACTTACTTTCTTGCAATACTCACTTTATTGCAGTGGTTTGGAACCAAACCTGCACTATTTCCAAAGTATGCCCGAACTTCAGTCACAGCTGAGTTTCTCCACACATAACGCTGCTGCTTCCTACCCTTCTAGCCAGCTTTTCCCACTGCTGAGAATGCACTCTGGAAGCCCACTCTACCTTGGAAACCCCTACTCATCCCTCAAGACCCTGGCCAAATGTCGGCTCTTCTAGAAGCCTTCCCCACACCATGGCAGGCAGAGTCGGTGCCCACCGGGCTCCCTCAGTCTCTGTCCCTGTCAATCGTTTATGGTGCATCGCTCTGTGGGAATCTGAGTCTCCCGGACTCAGCTGTAAACTGAGGATAAATCTTGCCTCCCCAATCTTGCCCTGTGCCCAGGGCACTAGGTAGGATCAAGGTAGGGGCTCAATAAATGTGATCAATTTAATTTCCTTTCCTAGTTGTCCTTTTTCTCAACAAAGGCACTTCTTGCCTGCCATCCCTGTTTTGAACCTGAAAATCATGGGAGGTGGGGAGGTCACAAGGCTGGTCCCTTTCCCTCATCCTCTTAGGCGTTTAGGCCTTTGCTTACCCTGCCCACTGCCCACTGCCCCAGTGGAGGCCTTCCCCAGGCCTCCACTGGGGCAGAGGAACGTCACCAGCGGGAAGCCCACCCCTTGTTCAGACCTCCCAGCTCCTGTAGGTCATTTCTCTAAGCTGTCACTGATATTCAGACAAAATGCTTATTAAAACATAAGCATTTTAGGGGGCGCCTGGGTGGCTCAGTCGTTAAGCGTCTGCCTTTGGCTCAGGTCATGATCCCATGGTCCTGGGATCGAGCCCCACATCAGGCTTCCTGCTCGGCGGGAAGCCTGCTTCTCCCTCTCCCACTCCCCCTGCTTGTGTTCACTCTCTCGCTGTGTCTCTCTCTCTCAAATAAATAAATAAAATCTTTAAAAAAAAAACAACATAAGCATTTTAAATCTGCCCCATTTCTTACCCATCAATGAAGAGAAAAGCAGCTGCAGCTGTGTAGGGGGGCCCCTGGGGACTGGTGAGAATTCTTAGGCAAAGATAAAGCTTGGCAGAGAAAAGGGAGTGGAATTACCCAAAGCCTGTCTAAAAGAGGAAAATAGTTTCTTCCATTCAAGAAGCCCCACTCCCTGCCCCCGGTAAGCCAGGAATTTTCTGAGCTTGGTCA